GGGAATTGCTTTAATTCCATGATTAGGATTTGACCTTTTACAGAACTTGAATTTAGTTGATCTGTCAACTTTTTCCAGAGAAATTCCAGTTTTCCATCTGCTATAATGAAATGCCTGTCTTGTTTCCAGCATAAGTAATTGTTCTTTATGCTGTTGTTTTATTGTCCAAGGTGTGTGTTTTAAATCTGCCCAAGTGCTTAATCCGGGCACCTGCTATTTCAGTGTGGGTTCAGGCATGCAGAGAAGCCAGTGGACACTCTTCCTTGCATTGGAAAGAATTTATGCTTCTGTTGGTAATATTTACAGTAGCTAAATGGTGATCTTTTAACATGTAAATGCAAATGGATAACTTTTACTGAGCTCCTCATGAGAGAACGGTTGTCTCTGTGTCACCTACACAGAGGAACTCCACGATGCAGCCTTTCTTCCCTCCTGGTTATGGCTATCAAGGATTGCTGATAACCAGTCATGACATTCGTCCTCCTCTCTCATGACCCTTTCTCTGGCCCCTTCTCCTTCACTCTCCCCTGCTCTGTGGCTCGGTCCCTTTCCCTGCTTTCTTTCTTTCATCGTATAGAAGTTTGTCTAAGCTCAAGATGGCGCCTTACAGTGCTCTCCACCACGCCCAGTTGTTTTTGTACCACTGGTTTGTATTAATATGCTGGGCTTTAAACTCGGCGCTTTGCACTGCCTGTTGCTCTTGCTGCAAGATATGCCCCACCAATCCAGGAGAGGCAGGAGACTTTAAAGTGAATCTTCATTTTCAGATCTGAGCATTGGCAAATATTTTTCAGATTGATATTTTCTCCACCCCTTTCCCTACCAGCTACTGCTTTTACAGCCCTGTTTCTTTTTTTTTACTTAATTTTTTTCACGTAATATATTTTGATCATATTTCTTTTTCCTGAACTCCTCTGAGATTTCCCCCTTTCCCTACTCTCCCAGCTTTGTGTTCTCACTCACTCAGAAGAACAAAGAAAAAAATCAAAACAAATACACAAAAACCCAGTAAGATAAAAAATAATGAAAGTCTCCCCCACCTAAAAAATGAAACAGGGAGTCTATTTTGGGTTGGTTAACTACTCCTGGGCATGGGGCCTGCCCTCAGTGTGGGTGACAGCTCAGTGACACTCACTGGAGAAAACTGATTTCCCCTTCCCAGCAGGGATCAGTTGCAAATAGCTTCTTGATTGGGTGAGACTAAGTGTCCACTTCTCTTTCCTAGTGTTAGGATTTTGTCTGCTTTGAGCTCATGCAGGACTCGTGCCTGCTGTCCTGGTCTCTGTGAGTTCATATGAGTAGCTGTTAGTGTGTATACAAGATGCTGTTTGCTTGGAGTCATCGCCACCTCCCCTCTTACAATCTTTCTGCATAGGTCTCTGAGCCTGTAGGGCCAAGTTTGATAGAGACATCCCATTTAGTGCCCAGTGCTCCACAGTCCCTTACTCTCTTCACATTGTCTGTTTGCGGATCTCAGCATTAATTCCCATCTGATGCCAGAAGAAAGCCTCTGAAGAGTTGAGTGATAGAACGATTCTCTCTACATCCCCCTGATTCTGTTTCATTCCTCCCTCCTCTGGTCTGGCTTCTTATCAAGGCGACCCATACCTTCCTGGTTGCTAAACCCGGAGGAGATTTCTCCCTCCTTAATTATTTAACATTTTATTGTAGCAATTGATAATTTTTATCATTTCCTCAAAAAATGAAAAGTTCTGCTTCTTCCTGAATTTTTAGCCACCATGTATTTCTTCCTATTCCTTTGGTTTTCCTTCTTAGGTTCATTATCAGTTTGTCGGTTCCTATTGGCCCCTCCATGGTAGTTGTTAACGGAGCAAACCCAGGACTGACAGCTGTAGTCTTCTTCCTGTACTTTTTGCTCTCAGTTGGTCATCTCATATATGTACCTAAACTTTCCTAACTGATCACTAAGTTGAGGCTCTCTACTTGTGCTCTAGACTCCACATCCTCAGATGAAACTCAACATGTTTGAAACTAAACTTGGGGGCGGGAGAGATGCCCAGCAGTTAATGGCACTTGCCCCTCTTCAGAGGGATCTTAGCTCCCAACATCCATGTCAGGCTTCTCCCAACTGCTGACACTACAGCTACAGGGCACTCGATGCCTTCCTCTGGTCCGCTGTGGGCACCTGTGCATATGTGACAGACAGATGTGCACAAACAAATAAAAGTATTTTAAAAACGAACTTGGACTTTCACCCCTACAAATCCATTCTCTCCGTGTGTTCCCACTTCATTAAATAGCTTTATTTTCCTTCTGGATGCTCAGGCCAGCATAACCACCTCATTGTCAAGTCCATTAAAGCTCCTCTAGTCATTCACCTCATTCTCCCTAGCCTATTCTACTCGGCCACCAAAGCTCTCGAAAACATACTATCTTCCAACGACCCCCACTTCTGGCATTACTCTCTTAAATGAGGTCCAAAGCTCTTATTGCCTAATGATTGCAGTGTTCACCTAGACAGCCATTTAGACCCTCTTGAGTCTAGACCAAGCTTTTAAAATAGAACGCTAATGTCAAGCTCACACTTAGGGCTCTTCAGTGATTTCTTTTTACTTCAGGGCATTAAAGTTCACCCCCCCCTTTTCAGCACACCTGTTGTTTTTTATGATTTAGTCCCTGCAGATCTTCCGGACTTCACCTCTTGTCGACTCATATTGGAGCCACACTGAAACACCTTGTGATTACTCTTACCAGTCATGTTCCTTGAGTGGATATATATTCTACTATACCTCTACCTGGTAATGATATTAGTTACTTAGGTGACATTGCTGGAAAACCCTCTAATGTCCCATTCCCTTAGACTTGGTTAAATATCTCTTTTCTGTAATTTAAGGCATCTTGTATATGGGTGTGTTGCATTATGATTGTTAAAATTGGGTTTTTTTTTGCTAACTGGACTGAGAACTCTTTGAAATGGACATTATTTTCATCTGTGAACCCTGGGGATGTATCTTGCTAATTTGGCAGTTTGCATCTTAAATGAATGGGTGACCAGTCACAATAAAAGACTGTGAGAAGGTAAGTTGGCAGTTTGCATCTACAACAAAGGTGAATGTCCAATATTATATACTAAGTGAAAGAAGCTAGCACAAGAGGTCATACATTATAGGATTTCATTTATATGAAATGCCCACTAAGGCAAATCCATAGAGATGAAAAGTAGATTATTGACTTCTAAGAGCTGGAGCTTATAGGTCTAGAGAGATAAATTAGTCATAAACTACTTACTGTAAAAGCATGAGAACTTGAGTTTGGGCCCTCACCCAAGGAACAGCAGGCATGGTGGCATGTGTGTTCAAGTACAGCTCTATGGCCGGAGGGGGGCAGAGATAGTTGGTCTCTGGAGCTCACTGGCTACCTAGTCTAGCCAAAATCAGTAAGGTGTAGGCTCAGGGAAAGGCCCTGTCTCGAACAATAGAAGATTGACTAAGGAAGACACCTAATGTTAGTCTCTACTACACAGATGTCCATATATGTGCACGTATGTATGTGTGTACACATCTATACGTACTCAATTTTTTAAAAGGTAAAAAGAACCAAAGGCTAGAGTTTGGGGATAGGGGAGTAGGGAGTATCCTAAAATTTTGGCGGCATTGAAAATGTTCTTGAATTAGTGGTGATTGAGTTACACTTTGAATATACAATTTGTGAATATACTAAAGACCATTGAATTGTGTTCAAAAGACTAAGCCTTATAGCATTAGAATCCTGTCTCAGTAAAACTGTCATTAAGCATTGCAGTTTATCAGCACAGTTTTATAGAACGCAGACAATTGTGTGTATCTGAATATGTGTAGGAGTAAAGCCTGTATGCTGATCACATAGGACCAGAATCAGGACTTTTCTTTGATGTATTGATTTTGAGGTGGGTATTTTGTTTGTTTTTTTTTTCCCCGAGACAGGGTTTCTCTGTGGCTTTGGAGCCTGTCATGGAACTAGCTCTGTAGACCAGGCTGGCCTCGAACTCACAGAGATCCGCCTGCCTCTGCCTCCCAAGTGCTGGGATTAAAGGCGTGCGCCACCATCGCCCGGCTTGAGGTGGGTATTTTAAACTTTAATTCTGACATTTCAATAGTAGAAGAATTCAACCAATTCAATCTATAAATAATAGATTTACTTTGCCATTTATTAAATATATATTACTTGATCTCCTATGTATGTGTGCTTTGAAAATAACACAGGGAACAAATATGTTTACCTTGTTAATCAATGTGGGTGGTCCTGGCCCACACCTTTAATCCCAATACTTGGGAGGCAGAGGCAGCAGATTTCTGTGAATTCGAGGCCAGCTAGTTCCAGGACAGGCTCCAAAGCTACAGAGAAACCCTGTCTCAAAAAAAAAAAAGCAAGGGGAAAAAAGAAAACACTGCCTAACTTTGTTAATTGATGGTTGAGGGTTTTACAAAAACACATTTTTGTGGTCTTGGACTTAAACCCAAGGAGTAGCACTAAAGAAACACTTTGTTTTTTGTCCTTCTTGTTTGGAAATAGGGTCTCATGTCCAGGAACTCACTATGTAGCCCAGTCAGGTTTGAACCCAGTCTTTCCTCAGCCTCTTGAGTGCTAGGATTATAGGTGTGCACCAAATTTGCCAGGCTCCAAAAGTATACCTTTCCAGTATGAGTGTGCTGTCAACTTGACACCCCAGAGAGCACAATCTGTTACAGACGATTTGAAGATATTCTCTTAGTTAGTCCCTTTCCGTATTGGTTATGTATGTAGTGACAGAGAAGTGTGGTCTGTGCTGTTAATCTAGGGCACATTTTCCCTTCTGGCCTACTCAATTATGAGAAAATTGGACTCTTAGACATGTGAATTCAGTAGTACTTTAAACTGTAATAGCATTTGGTCTAAAAATTAGTTCTGATCCTCCATGGACTCTGATCAGAAATTTTCTGTTCTTAATCCAGAGATATGTGTTGGGTACAGATAAGCAGTTTCTGTCTGCATGAGGAGCTGATGGGGTTTTCCACTTCCAGGTGTTTTGGTGGGGCTGGTGCTTCGGTACGGCATTCATGTTCCAAGTGACGTGAATAATGTCACCCTGAGCTGTGAAGTGCAATCAAGTCCAACTACCTTGCTGGTCAATGTCAGTGGAAAATTTTACGAGTATATGCTGAAAGGAGAGATTAGCTCACATGAGCTCAACAATGTTCAAGATAACGAGATGCTCAGGAAGGTGAGTTTTTAGTTGAAGGGGATGTTTGGGTTTTTGAAAAGGTGTGTAATGAGCAAATAGATGAATCTTAAGAAAACTGATGACCCGTTTTATTTTATTTTCTTAATTTTTTATTTTGAGGCAGTTTCACTTGTGTGCTGCCCTAGAACTTGTAGCAGTCAGTCCTCCTGTCCCTGTCTGCTTGAGATACATGCATGCACTACCTACCTCTCAGCTTGTGCCACTATGCCTAGCTGTAATTTTTTAATATTTAAAAATAATAATTAGCTTTTAAATGTAATAAAACCTGTTAATAAATATCATGCTGTTAGGGGTGGACCTGTCTGTTTTATTTTCATGTTTAAGGCCAAATCTATAACTCTCTTTATTTGTACTCTATATAATGTTTTTATAACTGACAGTGGTCAGGACCTGACTTCAGAAGAATATGTAAGCATTTCTTCAATTTGCAGATGGCCCTATTGCTTTAGGGTACACTAATACATTGGGTTCAACTTCTGGGGTTCCAGTAAGAGCTTCAGTTACTGGACCATGCTTCCTATGGGAGGTTGGATTGCAGTCTCACTAGCTCAAGATTCCTGGGAATGCTTGCTTGTATTCCGCTCAGTTTCTCTGAAGCTGCTCACTACCACTTCACACACTGCTCTGTCTTCACCCGCCCTTTGCCTCCTGTCTTCTAGTTAGCAGTACCTGATTTTTATAGTCTCTTGATTGTGTTCCTGTCTTAGGGTTTCTATTGCTGTGAAGAGACACCATAACTTCGGCAGCTCATAAAGGAGAACATTTTTCTCAGGGCTGGCTTACAGTTCCGAAGTTAGTCTATTATCATCATGAGGGAAACATGGCAGTGTGCAGGTGGATGTGGTGCTGGAGAAGGAGCTGAGAGTTCTGCAGCAGGATGGGCAGGCTGTGGGAAGAGAGAGACACCAGGACTACCTTGAGCACCTGAGACCTCAAAACCTACCCCAGTAACACACTTCCTCCAACAAAGCCACACCTACTCCAGTAGGGCCACACCTCTAATGTTACTTCCTTTAAGCCTATAGGGGCGGTTTTCTTTCAAATCACCACAGTTCCTATCTGTAATGGTTTTTTTAAAAAAAAACCCACAAACTTTACTTTGCAACCAGAGTACTTAGCAGCTATGGAAAAGTCCAGTCCTTAAAAATGTTTGTATGGTTAAGTGGATAGCTGCATTGCGTTCATATCAAATTCTTTTGTAACCTTCAGAACAGAAAGGGCCATCTGCATTGTTAAAATAAGTAGCTTTTAAAATGAGTCGACTGTGAGGAGTGAAAATTTTGAGTTGTATAAAAAGTTTTAACTAACTACAGTATTATGCTATGTAGCGTTTATAGAGATTCCTGTGTGATCCTTTAGTCAATGATAAGTATAGCTCTGAATTCTCTTTCTGAATTTAGGTCTCTTTTATATAAAGCTAAAATATATTTATGCTTTTTCCACTTTTTAAGATTTAAATTTTTTTGTTTTGAGACAGAGACATGCTATGTGGCTTTTGCTGGTCTATTACTAAGTAGTTCAGGCTGACTTTGAACTCATAGCAATTCTCCTGCCTCAGACCGTTCCCAACATTTAGGGATTACAGGTGTGTATTATTTGTGTTCTGCTAAGAATTTTAATGTAATATTTTTGTACATTTTCCATAGAAATGGTATAACTCATTATTTTAGCATTATCACCCTAAATTTTATTGAGAAGTAGGAAAATAGCTATACTGTAACACAAAATTTATGTGCCTAAAACATGGAAGTAGTAGATTCCCTATTTACTTTTAAGTTAGCATATAAAATAATGGGTTTTATTATGTCATTTTCATATGTATGTGTCATTATACTTGGCTCTAATTTGTCTTCCTCTCCTATTGTTCTGTACATGCGCGCGCGCACACACACACACTCAAACACACACACATGCACGGAGTGAAAAGAAAGATTGCTAAATGAGACAAGAATCTTTGCCAAATGCATATGAATTAGGATGTTAAAATCTAGGATAAGCAAAGAATCATAAAAATCCTCTAAAATTTATCCAGTTAATACATGTGCCAAAGAAGTGAATAGTTATCAAAAGAAGTAGTGCAAATGTTCAATAAATAAAATGCTCAGCAGCAGAGAATTGCAAATTTAAACTCCTACATGAAATGTTTTGAAGCTCACTCAGAAGCATTCTGCTGTTAACCATTTTAACCTTGAACCTTTTTCCTTTCGATAGTTTGATAGTGTAGTGAGATATTCTGAAGGAAATAATCTCAAAGAATTCTGTGTTTTAACAGGTTACTTTTGACCCGGAAGTCTTTTTCAACATACTGCTTCCTCCTATCATATTTTACGCAGGTTACAGTCTGAAAAGGGTAAGTGCTTTTTGCATTTCCTCTGGTTTAACTAGCCTTAACTTTCCCATGCTTTGATAGGTCTTAAATGTCCCATGCACTTCTTAATACTTGCCAATTCAGAAACAGACCATGTCTTCCAAATTCTCCTTCCTTTTCGAAATGTTGAAATTTATGCCAGTTCCAGAATGCTTTCTCTGACTGACTTCTTCTAGAGAACGATTCTTTTAATATTAGCATAGCAAAGTACAATAGAAAAATGTTCTTTCTCAATACTTGGTAGATATTCTAACAAAGCTTAACTTCTTTTTTGTCAGAGACATTTCTTCCGGAACCTTGGGTCTATCTTAGCATATGCCTTTCTTGGAACAGCGATTTCTTGTTTCGTTATTGGGTAAGATTTGAAGCTTGAAATGCCTTTTAGGCTTCAGATTTCCTAAAAGAATACCTTTGACTTGTGTTTATGTGTTATTGTAATCTCAAATTGTTTTGAGAACTTTTGTGGTACTCATTAGTAATAAGTTTTTTGACTTTCCTTAAACCTAAAGTATTAGCCATATTTAGGTATTTGTTAATTCAACCCAGGGTTAATGACAGAGTACTATAGTAGATTCCTTTTCTTACCCTTCCTTTATTCTAACGTCTTTAGTAGTTGGTGTTTTTATAATATAGGACTGTGTTTATTGTCAGGTCCATAATGTATGGCTGTGTAACCCTGATGAAAGTGACTGGACAGCTCGCAGGAGATTTTTACTTTACAGATTGCTTGCTGTTTGGTGCCATTGTATCAGCTACAGACCCAGGTATGTTTTTGGAATGGAGCTGAAATGCTTCAGTTTGCACTGTTTCCAGTCAAAGCCCGTGTGGATGCTCCTTTAGGGTATAGAATAAGGATTAGCACTATGCTTTCCAATTGTGGAGAAATAAAAACTTCATTCCTTTTGGTTTAAGCACATAATTGGTTGTTTTACTTTTTTATTACATTTGCTATAACTGGTTCACAAATTGATGCTGTTCTTATTAGAGCTATTAAATATTTTCTTCAGAAATTTAAATTGGTCTTCATGTCCTAGTGATTGAATATAACAAAAGAAAAGCTAGGTTATAATTTTTAAAATTGATTATATATTTTCTTTTGCATTTCTAGGCAACCATTTCTCTGAAAATCTTCTGTTTATATCCAACTGTCTGCATTTTACAGTAGAAAAGAATTTGGACTTTTATTTGTTTGTTTATTGAGACAGGATCTGGTAGCCCAGACTGACAAGCTGGCCAGTAACTCACTGGGTAGCCAGGGATAATTTAGATAAGCTTGAGCTTCTGACCTTGAACTTGTCTTCCCTTAGCGCTGGGTTGATTGGAGTGTGCCACCACGCCTGCTTTGTGCAGCACTGAGGATCAAACACAGGGCTATGTGCATCCTTGGCATGCACTCTACTATTTTTTACTATTTTTTTGTTCTTTTAGTACAGGGCCTTACCGTAGCCTAGGCTGGCCTCAAATTCCTGACAGTCTCCTACATTGGCATTGTACATGCTGTGATTGCAGGCAGAAACTCCATGCCTAACTAAGAAAGCAGCTTTAAAATGGCTACTATAAGGCAGCTATGCTGATAGGAGTAGTCTTCAATATTAAAAAATGCTTTTTTACAAAATTGGCCTTATGGCTATAAAATTGTTATTGACAAAGCTTGCTTCTTTGTGATTTCATTGTGAAATCCCTAAGAATTTGTGTTAATTAATAAATTTAATTGCTAGTGAAGTTTAAAAAATTAAATGTGTATTGGTAAACTAACAGCTATATTCAAATGAAGAATCTGTAGAAAATTTAGAATTAAATGGTTGGGGTTAACATCCAGAATATATAAAGAGTTCAGTAAGGTCAAAATTAAAGGAATAAGTAGTTCAATCTTTATGCTGTTTGATGAACTGATAAGATATTCCTCAAAAAAAATGTGCTAATGGCCAATAAGTACATTTTAAAAATGTTCAATGCTTTTAGTCATTGGAAAAATGAAAATCAAAACTGCAGAGATTCCCTCTCACCCCAGTCAAGATGTCTATCATCGAGGAAACAAATAAAAACATATGTTGGTAAAGCTGTGGGATGGGGTGGAAGAACTCTTGCTGGATGTGGTGACGTAATTCTAGCATTTGAGAAGGTAAAGCAGGTGGATTGCTATGAGTGTGAGGATGGTTTGGGGTACAGAGTAAGAGCCTCAAGAAAAGGGAACCTTAAATACTTAGTTTAAGCCGGGCGATAGTGGCGCATGCCTTTAATCCCAGCACTCGGGAGGCAGAGGCAGGCGGATCTCTGTGAGTTCGAGACAAGCCTGGTCTACAGAGCAAGTTCCAGGACAGGCTCCAAAGCCACAGAGAAACCCTGTTTCGAAAAAAAAAAAAACTTAATTTAACTAATTTATTAGTTATAAATTATAACTAATTATAAGGAATATAAATTAGTTCAACCACTATGGGAATCAGTTTGGGAATTCCTCCAAAACAAACAACCTAAAGCTAGAACTACTTTATGATCCAGATATATTCCCCTTTATGTCTAAGGATTGTAAATCAGCATACTGCAGAGATACCTGCACAGCCATGTTTATTGTGGTACTATTCATAGTAGCATGCTGTAGAATCAGCCTGGGTATCCATCTACAAATAAATGATAAAGAACGTGTGACATGTACACGTAGATGCATACGTATACACCATGGAGTTTTATTTTGCATAAAAATACAGTTATGTCATTTTCAGAAAAATGGGTGGAACGGGAAATCATGTTAAGTGAAATAAGCCAGACTGAAAAAGACAAATTTCACATATTTTTTCTTGCTTGTAAAGCAAAATTTAAAAAGAAAAACCATGGGGGGGGTGTTGGGCCACGGAGGAGGGGAGAGGAAGCTTTAGTTAGGATGTAAAAACAAGAAAATAATAAAAAAAAAGAAAAAGAAAAACCATGGAAGTATAAGGGGAGTTATTTGGAAAGAGAGGAAACAAGCTTATTAGAGGGACAAGTAATGGTAGTGGGAGGAGTCTGATCAATGTACATTATCTATCTATCTATATATATACACAAATACACACACACGTATATATACATATATACATATATATATATGAAAACATCATAGTAAAACCCATTAGTTTGTACAATTAACAGACAGTAATGAATGTAAATTGGAAGAAAGACCAGCATAGGGGCAGACTAAAGGTTTTTTGCTCTTCTTTGCTTGGTGTTGGCAGCCTTGTTCGTGGTCGGCAAGTGCTTTGTCACTGACCTATGTCTCTATCCCCTAGACTGAAGATTTAAATCCTGGGGTCAAAGTTTTCTTTTACTATTAGTCAGGATTTGGTAGAGGTTTGTTCTGTTTCAACTTTTGCCCTTGTGAGTTAATCATCTTCTTTAATTGTCACAGAGCACCATGGAAACGCGTGTCCTAAGGTTATCTTTGAATTCCTTTCTTAACTCTAATAACACAGGGAATGATAGAAAGGGGGGAAATGTGTTCCATATGCTAGAGAGAATTCTAAAAGATTGCTTAGAGCTCGCTAGGTAGAGTGGCACATGCTCGTAATCTCCACACTTGAAAGTGGAGGCAGGAAGTTTAAGAACTTGTCTCCAGCCTGGGCTATCTAGTGAGACTGATTCAAAATGAATATTTAAAAAGCCAAATGAATAAACAAAAAGAGCTCCCAGAGGATCATTTCAGACAGACATTTGTATGGTTTAATATTTTTATTTTTTGTAGTGTTGAGGATAGATAGAAGAATGTAGGGTCTCATGTATACTAGGCAAGCAGTCCATGGCTGAGCTATATCCCCAATCCCTTTGGTGCTAATTAATTAATTTTGTATTGGAATTTTGTGTGGTGCATGTGTTCCTGTGAATATATGTATACGTATGTGCATGTGTGTGGGTGTCTTCCTTTATCCTTTCCACCTTAGATTTTGGAGACAGGATCTCTCAGTGAACCTGGAGCTGACCAATGTCTAGACTGGGTGGACAGTGAGCTCCAGGGTCTTCCTGTGTCTCCCTCCCCAGCACTGGGATAACAGGTGTACTTGTTATGCGCCTTTCCATGTGGGTGCTGAGGATTTAAACTCGGGTCTTCATGCTTGCATGGCAAGTACTTTACTAACTAAGCCGTGGCCCCAGCCCTCATATTTTTGACTTTTGATACAGAGCCTTACTAAGTCCCCAAGGCTGGCCTTTAATTTACTCTCTAGCCCAGGCATTCCTTGAACTTGGTGTTGCCTTAGTTTAATATTTTGTTTTGATTTCTTTTGTTTGTAATTCAAGGTGAGCTGATACTCATAGCCCAAGTTAGCCTCCAACTAATGGTAATCCTTCTGCCCCAGTTCCCTGAGTACTGAAATTATAGGGAGGAGCTATCATGCCTAGTTGTAGCTTAATGTTTTTAAAAACTGATATCATATTGTTTCTTTATAGACTGCACCGAGCCTGACCCCTTATATTTTTCAGGAAGCCAGTGGCCTCGGATAGAAGCAGGTGCCTTGACCTTTCTAAGGCAACAGTACTTCAACCTTCTGGTTTTGTTTTAGTTGAAGTATTTCCTGACTATCTCAAGTAATAATATTTTGTTTAGATAAAGTTTGGAAAATTTCTTTTCTAAATTATGTAATTTCTCTAGTTCTACTATTTTGCATTATCTTTTTAGAAGTTTGAGCCATAGGTTCTCTATTCAAAATTCGACAGTATTTTTCCACTCTCCTTTTTTTTTCTTTTGGTTTGCTTTATAAAATCCTATTCTTGGGGATGGAGAGATGACTCAGCAATTAAGAGCATTAGTTGCTCTTCTAGAGGACCCAGGCTCAAGTCCCAGCACCAATTATCCTGTTCCAGAGGATTCAGTGCCCTCTTCTGGCCTCTGTTTGTACCAGCAACGCACATGGTACACGGATGTATATGTAAAGTAGATACTCACACACTTAAAACAATAAAATAAAATCTCCCTCAAATAATTTTTTCTTTGAAGGGTTTATTTTTTCTTTATTTTGTGTGTATGGGTGTTCTACATGCATGAATGTCTGTGCACCATATGCATGCCTGGTGTTGGAGGAGGCCAGAAGGGGTTGTCAGGCCCCCTGGAACTGGTGTTAGAGAGTGTTTTAAGCCTCCATGTGGATGCTTGGAACAGAGCTTATTTCCTGGAAGAAGAGTCTGTGCTCTTAACCCCCGAGTCACTTCTCTGGCCCCCAGTTTTTCTTTGCTTTTCAGAAATTCATGCATGTATATGTAGATGTGTGACTTATCTGCACTTTGATATGTCTATTCCTGTGTTTTGTAATAAAAATTATATCTTTTAAAACACAAACTTTCTGTTTTTATGTTTTCTATTTGAAAATGCTCTCTTGTTTCTGGCTTTATTAATTTTTCATATCTGCTTGGATTTATTTAATGGGTGAGCAATATGTGACCCAGGAATGAAAGCTGCAATGTATCGTATCATTCTTATCTGATTTCTAAAAATTCCAATATAATTGCTTTCCCCAAAGACGCGAGTATTATGCTTATGTCCTTAGCCTGTAATATCCTGATACATTGGCTTCTTCATCAGTTAAATATGGCAGTTGTTATTCTGGTCATAAATCTTGTGCCAACCAAAAAACTGAAGTTGCATTCTCATTTCCTTAGGTCTTTACTAAACTTGGTATGGTTTCAATTTTCAGGTTAAATAAAAGCAAGTCGTAAAGCTCCAAGGGAGAAGGGGTGTTTTTACAGAAAGAATACTTTTCATATTTTCTTCTTTATTAAAGATTAATTGCTAATTTGTAAGAAATTCTGAATATATTCTTTATAGAAAATAAGTGTACAAAACCAGATTTCAAATTTGCATGAGGACTATAGGGCAACTCAGGCCTTCAAGATTATTTTCAGTTGTTTTTGAGAACGGTAGTGTTGCATGTAAGTCAATTAAGAACAAATATTGTCAGAAAATTACTAAATCTGTAATTCAGTAAGAGAGTGTTAGAAGGGAAAACATGCATTTCAAAATAATATCTAACAGCTATTGAGGGACAGATGCTGGGCTTGTGATGTCTAAGTATTCTGATTCTTTCTGTCTACTAGTGACTGTCCTTGCCATCTTCCATGAGCTCCAAGTTGATGTTGAACTCTATGCTCTTCTCTTCGGTGAAAGTGTCCTCAATGATGCCGTTGCCATAGAGCTGTCCTCGTGAGTGTTGATTTTCTTTTTATACTCTGAATAATACATGCAAGGGTACTAGCTTCTGAAATTCAGTTGTTGAATAAAGTACATTATAAATAGAAATATTTGGAACAATGAGTCCTTTTACCTTGCTCTGGCAGAAACATGTGTTTTATGGATAATTTGGAAAAATGCATGGAAAAAAATGAAAGAAAAATTGACATATTCACATCATAGAAATAATTCCTATAAAAATTTTAGGGACGTTCCTTCTACTCTTTTCTGCTTGTAATGTATTTACATAATAGTCATTTTAATGACTGAATTTTATTATCTGTTTAACATTAAAACACAAATACTTTTTTGCTTAGGCTTAAGTTTTGAATTTGAAAAACTACATGAAAAGGTTTGTATAGAAATTCTGTTCTTTGCCAGGCGGTGGTGGCGCACGCCTTTAATCCCAGCACTTAGGAGGCAGAGGCAGGAAGATCTCTGCGAGTTCAAGGCCAGCCTGCTTTACAGAGCTAGTTCTAGAACAGCTACACAGAAAACTCTCTTGAAATACTAAAGTAAGAAAAAAATAGAAAGGGAAGGAAAAAAAGGAAAGTTCTGTTCTTACTTTCTAATCCTTGTTTTCCTAGCAGCTTCCTAGAACTGTTCAATAAAAAGTTTCTTTTATGATTTACTATTTCTTTAAATCCAATGATAGGGATTTTTTATACCTCTTTTCTGTTTTTATTTTTAATTTTTGGCAGTTTTGGGGATATAGTCTTGCGCATGCCTGATCCCCAGCCACCCATTTTTTATTTTGAAAGTAGCTTATACATAGGTGTATTCTAGCTTTATTTTCATATCAAAAGAATTTGTTCTTTGCAGCTTTGCGGTATTCTTTGTGATTCACACTGTAATTCTTTTCTCTCTTTCCCAATCTCTTACTACTGGCTATTGAAGAACTTTCAGTCCTTTACTTTCCCCAAGGAAGTTATAGTGTTTAACCTACAACTTTCTTCATTTTGCAGATATAGATATATGGTAGAATAAATTCTTAGAAGTGACTGAGATTTGTGGTCGCTTTAAAGGATCAATGTGATTTTAGTTTTATTTAATATTGGTAAATTGCCAGTCAAAGTATTGTATCATTTTATACTTCAACCACCATGATATGAGAATATCTCTTCCTTCAGAGCCTCCCCAATAAACTATTATATATTTTTGGAGACAGGGTTTCTCTGTGTAACAGCCCTGGCTGTCCTGGAACTCGCTTTGTCTATCAGACTGGTCTTGAACTCACTAAGATCCACCTGCCTCTGCCTCCCAGGTGCTAAAATGAAAAGTGTGCATCACCATCGCCTGACTTTTCTTGATAATAATTGTTGAATGAGTAATTCCTTTTATCTAATTATAGAAATTGCTGTATGTGTTGTTACAAGGTATTTGTAGGTGGAAGGTATTCTGCACCCCTGACGAATTAACTCTTACCTAAGGGCATACACAGTCATGTGGGCAGCTGCCCTCACCTTACACTAAAACTTGCCATGAGCAAGATGAAAAAGCCCTTCACAGTTTCTCATTACTTTAATTTCTTTCCTTAACTTCTATTTTGTTAGCTCTAAAAGAGTCATAAGTCATGGACTCTGTTTTGCACAAGTTGACTGCCTTACTGTGCAGTGAGAAACTACCATTTCACATATATAACACTAAGCCCTTCAGTGAGCTGGATAGCAGGATTTAAAGTTGCAAATCCCTTTTTGTGAATGCTCTATGTGTGTTGCTTCCTTCCCTGGTCCCACAGTTATTTAGTCCCAAATAAACACACAGAGGTTTACATTAATCATAAACTGGTTGGCCTAGTAGCTCAGGCTTCTTATTAATTCTTATAACTTATATTAGCTCATAATTCTTGTCTGTGTTAGCTACGTGGTTTGGTACCTTTTTTAGCAAGGCAGTCACGTCTTGCTCACTCTGGGTTTGGCTTCTTCTCTGTCTGGATGATGACTGCATACTGAAACTTCCCTCTTCCCAGAATTCTCGTTGTCCTGCCTATACTTCCTGCCTGGCTACTGGCCAATCAGCATTTATTTAAAATACAAGTGACAGGGTACAGACCATTGTCCCAGAGCACTGTTAGACACAGCCAGAATTTCTTATAATTAAATCAAGAAATGAAACCTAATGGCTATAACTAATATTGATGCTGCTGCTGAATGTGAGTACCTTCAATGATGATAGGAGCAAAATCAAAGATGTATACTATATAAAAGGAAGACCAGATGGACAGTGTAATTGTAATTTATATAGTTCAGAAACATGAAATGATAAAGATCATTGAAGTTTCTAGTATATAAGTACACCTGAGACCTCCAGTCCTAAGTGATTATCCCAGACAATTAACTTTACAATTTAATCATCAACTGATAAGCATTCCTTTCCTTTTGCTCTAATGAGTTAAGAATCCCCCCTCCCCAAAATATCTTAAATCTGTTCTGGTCCTATCTTAAATGGCTGTTCACTGTATTTTACATTTTTCATCAATAAAATAACCCATTTCCTGTAACTTTAGCATATCATCAGTGTTAAGAAAAAGGAATACACAGAAAACATTTGAGCTTTGGTGATGAAGCAATTTGTTTACAAGAGAAAGCTTTCCCATGGATGTTTTCACAAAGGGCCACACTTTTCCTATTATAGCCTTTCTCAGACTGGGTTCTTTGAGTGAATGGAGCCTTTTAGAAAACAATTTGAACGATTTATTTCTTAATCCTCTTAAGGATAATACATCAGTAGTAGCTTTCTGAATTAACTCATGCCATCTCTGCTGCAGCCTTCACAGGAGGCATAACAGGGGAGCTGTTAGCTATGTGTCTTGATGGAGCTGAGCAGATGAGTTCCTGCCCCCAAATGAGAGGGAAAGCAGTTGTGTTGCTTTGTCATGGGAAGTTACTAGATGGCGGTATTTAGTGGTATATTGACAGTCAACTTGCATTCACCTTTGATGCCTTTCAAAGGATGTTAAGTATACTTTACTTGTATTACAATCCCTTAGTTTGATAATTGCTGTTTATATTCTATAATTTGTGAGAGAATTGTTTGGAAATTAACAAATTAAGGCAACATGTTAAAATTTATAAAATTTATTTTGGAACTTGTTTATGTTTCTGTTTAGTGGAAGCCAATTCTCACCTTCCATCATGTGGGTTCCAGGAATTGAACTTAGGCTTGGCAGCAAGTGTCTTTACTCACTGAGCCATCTTGTTGACCCCAAAGATATGTTTTTTTTTTGATTTTTCGAGACAGGGTTTCTCCGTAGCTTTTGGTTCCTGTCCTGGAACTAGCTCTTGTAGACCAGGCTGGCCTCGAACTCACAGAGATCCGCCTGCCTCTGCCTCCCGAGTGCTGGGATTAAAGGCGTGCGCCACCACCGCCCGGCCCAAAGATATGTTTTAAAGTAAAATTTCTAGGCCAATGGGTATAACCTTTTAAAAAGTAAGTGACATTGCCATATTTCTCTCCAGAAATGGAGGCTGAGTTGTAGATGAAGTAATACTTTGTTTCCATGAAAATAGCACAAAGAAATAGATCAAAGTATAAAAGCCACAAAAATATTATTCCATGCTGCTGTAGAAACAAATATTAGGAGGAGCCTTGAAAAGTTTTTTTTTATGTTTTTATTTTTACTGTTGTCTTACAGGAATGAAGTAAACAGGGCCTTTTACATTCCTTTTGTATGCTAGGCAAGTGCTCTGTTACTGAACTTTATCTCCAGGCCCTAGAAGCAAATTTTAAAGTCTAGCTATGTGCAAATGGTTAAGTAAATTATGCCTGTTAATACCATTATAAGTCTTAAATATCTTCGTTTTGTAACTCTTGTGTCATTGTTCATTGAAGGAAGCAGAGTTCAGAACTAATATTGCATTAAAACTAGGCATAGTGATACACATTTGTATTCCCAGCACTTGGCTGGTAAAGGCAGAAAGATCAGTAATTCAAGGTCATCCTCAGCTACATAGCAAGTTCAGAACCAGCCTAGAGTACTTATAGAAACACGACTCAAAGAATGCAAAACATTATGCATGTAACAAAAGAAGAGAAAATAAATACAGAAGGATAATGAGACGTATCTGTTAAGGCAGTAGATGATGGGGTGGATTTTCCCTTGAGCCATATGTTACATTAATATTTGATGTGAGATGTCCTTCTGTGTATGTGTTATTTTTATTGGCTAATGAATAAAGCTGTTTTGGCCAGTGGCTTAGCAGAATATAGCTAGGCTGAAGGAGATATATATATATATATATATATATATATATATATATAGAGAGAGAGAGAGAGAGAGAGAGAGAGAGAGAGAGTAAGCAAAGTCAAGGAGACACCATGCAGTGGCTGAAGGAGAAAGATGCCAGTGAGAACCTTACCCAGTAAGCCACAGCCTTGTGCCGATACTCAGATGAATAGAAATGGGTTAATTTAAGATATAAGATCTAGCTAGAAATACTCCTGAGTCATTGGCCGAACAATGTTGTAATTAATATAGTTTCTGTATGATTATTCGGGCCTGGGTGTCTAGGAAACAAACAAACAGTCTCCGCCTATAAATTTTAGAATTTTTTGAAAAGTATTTATATAAATATTTATGCCACAAGATGGGATATGGAAAAAAATGAGTTAAGATTTCAACCCAGAGACCAGCATTTCCCTAAAATAGAAGGCACAAGCCTATCATGTTTTCCATGTGTTCTTCATTTTAGGGGTTAAAGAATAATGGTTAGTGTCAAACTGGAATTTAGACTAGTCCAAAGAGAACAATCTCAGGAAACAAAGCATACATATTATGGTTTATTCAGTATTTTGGAAAAAAAATTATCAAAGAGGATGAAATTTGCATAGAAAAGTATGTTTTCCTTCCTGTAGAGTATTTTCGTGTTATATAGCATAGTTATATCACATTTGTAGCTTAGGTTTTCTGTCCTGCCAGCCAGGTCCCTAAATAACTACACTGAGTCTTGTTATTAATTACAAATGCTTGGCCAATAGCTTAGGCTTGTTACTAACTAGGTTACATTTTAAATTAGCCCATTTCTATTCCTTTACTTGTTGCCACGTGGCTCATGGCTTGTTACCTCATTTTGTACACATTCTGTTTCCACTGTGTCAGCTGGCAATTCCTGAGGCTCAGCCCTTCTTCTTCCGAGCATCCTCCAAATCTGGATACCCCAGCCAGTCTCTCCTATCCAGCTGTAGACCAGTCAGCTCTTTATTAATCAATGGGAGCAATATGTATTTACAGTGTACAAAGATTGTTCCATAGCACACTTACAATGGTGTGACCTTTTGTATATATGTAAACATAACATGCTATTAAAGGTCATTCCATGTTTATCAAAATAATATATACACTTTTAGTTCCAAAGTAATCTAGATATTTTGAGCATTTAAACACAGATGTGTAAAAACTTGATTCAGATTGAGAGTTTGAAATTTCTTAATGCTGTTACTAGAAATTGATGTTGGGCTTTAATCAAATAGATGTTAAGTAAGAAATTTATACTCTGGTCTTAAGTTTTTAACAGTGTAACCTGGGAGATACAAAAAGAATTTGTTATGCGTAGTATAGATAATATACTTTTAGCCTTGAACCAGAAAACAATTATAGTAAGCACAGAGTGAATTCTTTTTATTCTTAGAATGTGTTTTTCTTCCTCTTCTTTAACATGGCTTGTATAATGTCTTTGAATCTGCACTTTTCATGAATCTGGTACCTGAATTAACTGAGATGAGAATTGATTCAGTAACAGTAAACACTGTTAGCAAAGACCTACTGATAAAACTGGTTTTCTTGGTTATCTTTATTTCCTGGGGTGACTGTTAGAAAAACTCTTTCCAGACCATGTTTGGAATTTGAGTTCAAAACAGATTGTTCATTTTAATTGCCTGGCTTGACTTGGTTCAGAGTGACTCTTATTTGGGGGTGGAGGATCCAGCTAGGTATGTCTAAAGAACTCTAGAGTGGATCCTAATTCCTTGGAAGGTCTCTGAGCCCATTTGCTTAAAGAAGTCTGTTTTAGTGAGTAAGTACATATTAGGCATTTGGCCCATTCTGGCATTTTAAAAGTTGGAAAAATCTTTCATTTTCCCAAAAGAGGGACCCTATGCAATGGAGTTGAATATTGAGCAATTTTTTATTTTTATGTTCTCATGCCTCTTCAGGAAACAAGTAGGGTTTGTTTGTTTGTTAGTATATTAGAGCTTTGGAGCCCTCAGAACACATAATTCTTAAACATAATCTCTCTCTCTCTCTCTCTCTCACACACACACACACACACACACACACACACACACATGAGCCCGGAGACAGGGAGGGAGGGAGGGAGGATATCCTAGTATTGAGGATGAACAGGCTTGGTACAGATTTTAAATAGAGGCTTTTTACTCTTGAAAGCTATATTTTCCTTCTAGCTGTATGTACTGCAGGATTTTTTTGTAGCCTTATGTAATTTACATACAAAGATTTGGGGGGTTTTCTTCTGATTTTGTCATTAAATGCTTCCAGTTTTTGTTTTTTTTTGTTTGTTTTGTTGATTCAGGTTGCCACTTTATAGCCAAGGCTGTCCTAGAACCAGAGCTCCTCCTGCCTTAGCTTCTCAAATGCTGAGGTTGCAGGTGTATGCTATTACATCCAGATTTGGATAATATTTTAAAAGTGAAAGTTGCTACTAGAATTGAGAGCAATCTTGTCTTTTTGTAGGTCAATAGTGGCATACCAACCAGCTGGAGACAACAGCCACACCTTTGATGTCACAGCCATGTTCAAATCTATTGGAATCTTCCTTGGGATCTTCAGTGGATCTTTTGCAATGGGTGCTGCTACAGGAGTGGTGACAGCTTTAATATCCTTTTATTATAGTTACTTTTTCTTCTTAACCTACTGAGGTAGTTCAATGAGGCATGGTTTTTCCAAGTTCATGACTAGAATTGCTTTTATAGTTACCAATCTTTTAACTAAGAAGTTGTTCTGAAAACATGAAACAAAAATCTTTGTTAATATGTAACTTATTGAATTTCATTGTTTTACATAGGCTCAGTGTCTTAAAATGTGTGTGGGGAGCCAGGGTCTCATGTAACTCAAGCCGGCCTTGAATTTACTGTGGAGCTGAAGATGACTGGGAAGTTCTGATCCTCCTGTGTCTTCCTCCCAAGTGCTAGGAGTATAGGCATACACCACCATACCTAGTTTATGCATTGTTTAGGCAAGGCTTCTGCCAACTGAACTATATCCCTATCCCTTATCCCCTCTTTGTTTTTCATATATATAATGCCCGTATGCCTATTTGGCCTGTATATATGTCTGTGCCCTATGTGCATACATGATGCCTACAGAGGCCAGAAGAGGATGTTGGGTCTCTTGAAACTGGAGCCACTGGGGGTGTGGGCGATTGGAACTGAATCCAGAGCCTCTGCAAGTGTACCCAGTTTTGTTAACCTGATAGCCATTTCTCTAGCCCCTACCCCCTTTCTTGAGACTGGATCTTATTATGGTAGCCCAGGTTGCCCTCAAATTCATGATCTTCCTGTGTTAGCCTACTGAGTGCTAGAATTTCTGTCATGTATCACGATGCTAAACTGCCCCTTAACTGTCACTGTAAGAGACAAAGCTAGCCCTTTGAGGATGATTTTTAAAGTTATTGGTTAAATTGGAGTAAAGTAAATAGACTCCCCAAAGTCTTTGTGTATTCTGTGTGACTGACCATCTTTGTCACTCGTGTCTCCTTGCTTGATAGAACAAAACCGAAAATGTGTGGTTCCTGGGTGAGCACATATATGTGTTCATCCTGCCTTTCTTCCACCCCTCCTTCCTTCCTCCCTCCCTCCCTCCCTCCCTTCCTCCCTTCCTTCTTTCTTTTATTTTTTAAAAAAATATTTTCTCATTTTACATACCAATCCCAGTTCATCCTGCCTTTCTTGATTACAACTTTCATTATTCACCAGCACCCTGGCCTGGGAGTCCAAAGGACCTGAGCTGTCACAAGATATACAGGGCAAATGATTATTATATTCATTCAGAAGACATTTGCTGATGCCTGCTATATTCCAGATGCTGTATTCTTGGAATCAAAATTAAGACAAACATGGCTCCTGCCTTGCAGACACAAATATGATAGTGGTTTTCACTTTTGAACCCTGGATCTCAGTGTAGGGAATATTGAGTAGGACTGGATGAGATCCGAAGTTTCTAGCTATAATTTTTTTTATTTTATTTATTTGTATGTATGAGTGTATGACACATGTGCAGGTGTCCCCAGAAGCCAGCAGAGGACGTTGAATCCCCTAGAGCTGAGTTATGGATGGTTGTCAGCCACCCTCACAACCCAGCTGAGGCCATTTAGATGAACATTGAGTACCCTTAACCATTGAACTTCCTCTCTAGTTTCATCCAGCTCTGTCTTTTAATACAGTCTCATGTAAAACATGTGTGATGATGATTCTTCTTCTTCTTCTTCTTCTTCTTCTTCTTCTTCTTCTTCTTCTTCTTCCTCCTCCTCCTCCTGCTCCTACTCCTCCTCCTACTTCTTCCTTCTTCCTTCTTCCTTCTTCCTTCTTCTTCTTCTCAGAGACCCACCTGTCTCTGCCTCCCAAATGCTGGGATTAAAGTTGTGCACCACCATGCCCGACTATCATTCATGGCTTTTTAATTGATGAGCTGAGGCATAGAGGGCAATAAAAGGGCTTTGAAGGGAACCAGTATAGACTTTATCTCTTCTCTGGTACAGGGTCCTCAGGGCTAGGAAGTGTATCTTGTGTGTTATTTGTTACGGTGCTAGTTCATGAACTGGCTCTATATTCTAGCCCTAGACCTATTACAACTTGGCACCTGACATGCACTTTTTTTGGTTACCATAAAGGAGTGAAGTGCCTCAATTTCTTCATCATGGCATGAATGCTTTATAGTACAGATGAGTTAAAAGGTCAAATAAATGTGTAATTCCATGGAAGTTACATGTTTTTATAAATGCAAATTGTTGTAGTTATGGAAACTGTCTTGCTTTGGACCACAGGTTAATAGAGTTTTGGCATGGTTGTGTCTCAGTGTGCTGCTCTTGTTTCTGTCTCTTATTATGTCTTTTCCGGCAGAGTATATCATACCTGTAAATCAGTAGAAAGATCTAATTTGTGAGGTTTCCTCACTGATAAGAGGGCAGCTCCATAAAGTCCCATTCTAAGAATTCTTTACCGTTTTCCTTTGTGCCTTTTGTGTTAGAGAGGGTCAAGAGCCCTTCCTTAACTTCCCTAACTACCTTGAATTGGCTATTAATTTACTAGTTATATTTGTGTGTTATTATATGGTTTTGTTACGAAGCTTAACAGTCTTACGTGACAAAGTTCACCAAGTTGCGGGAGTTCCAGTTGCTGGAGAAGGGTCTTTTCTTCTTGATGTCCTGGAGCACCTTCCTTTTGGCCGAAGCCTGGGGTTTCACAGGTAGGTCACTGTCTATGAGGAGTGACTTAGAGAACTCCTCTCCCAAGTGAACCAACCTCCTTTAGTGTTTGAACATACTCGTTATGCTTGGGAGTCAGGCAGAGGTTCAAATGTAAAAAAGATTTTCAGTGCAAGAAATTGATTCCTCCCAACAAAATAAGTCAAAGTAAATGAAAGTGTCAACATTATGCATGGAATCTTTTTCTGTAAAATAGGAGACTTAGTATACAATTTAGGGGCCCTCCTTTTCCGTGAACTGACGTCTCTGTCTTTGCAGGTGTGGTGGCAGTGTTGTTCTGTGGCATTACACAGGCACATTATACATACAACAATTTGTCCACAGAGTCTCAGCATAGAACAAAGCAGGTAAGAGAGACTTTAGAGTTGGTGAATAAAATTTTCCCCCTCTTAGCAAAACAAAAGGTTTTATTTTTCAACTTAAATATCTGTGATCATTTCAAACTGATGGCTTCTCTACCCCTGACTCTAAAAATGGATGGGGGCTGGGCGGTGGTGGCGCACGCCTTTAATCCCAGCACTCGGGAGGCAGAGGCAGGCAGATCTCTGGGAGTTCGGGGCCAGCCTGGTCTACAAGAGCTAGTTCCGGGACGGGCACCAAAGCTACAGAGAAACCCTGTCTCGAAAAACAAAACAAACAAACAAACAAATAAATAAATGGATGGGACTGGCAGGGTGTAGGATAGCAGCTTCTAGGGCAGCAGTTGGGCAGCAGAGTAACCAGAGACTGTTAGAACTGGACTTTGGAAACTAGTCAGTTGGTTTCCCGTCTCCTCATATTTTCCTAATCCAGTGGCTGCTAAGAGGAACGATTTGAAGCCCCACTCTGACTTGGTCAGAGTTCCTGCTGTGAAGTGTAGAAAAGGTTAACCTGTCTGGATCTGCTAAACCACACAGGGACTAAGCTTCCTGCGCTCTTCATCCTGTAGTATTGCTGCTTCCAAGAGCCTTAAGGGGGACTGTCATTGACTGGGCACTGTGTGAACAGTCTACCTGAAAAAATTCTGAAGGAATTAGGTGTATCATTTTCTGGTCTTAGGAGATATAGAAGACTGATTAATAAACAAAATGTATAGGAACTTGGAACTTGCAGTTTTGCAGAAGGCTAGAAAAGGTGAGTTGAGTCTAGAAAGGAACAATGATAAAGCAAAATAGCAGTCTCTCGCTCTCTCTTTCTCGCACATGCATCCCATGCTTTCCCTAACACTGCAAAAGAAATTAGGCTCCCCTTTGGGAACATTTACATGGAGGTTACACTGAATATAGAGCAGTAAAATAGCCAGGGGTTTGGTCGTTTTTAGATGGCAAGGTAGACATAAAAGCAGCAAGCTAAGAGTTTGCAGCCTTGTTGGTGATATGCAACTTGCACGCAGAAAATACACATAATCACTAGGAATCATAGAGTGTGGGCTTGAGTCTGTATAGTACAGAACATCTGGGGAGAGACTAAACAGTTTGAGGCTTGAGGAGATCGATGTTATCATAGTAGAAACGGTGCATCTAAAAGATGGGCAGGATTTGGAATAGCCTAGTGGAAGCATAGGTTAAATTTGGCCTTGACTATTTTGTGAACTAGAATGTTCTTATAATATGAAATGGTTAGGAAAAGCTCAGGAGAATATCCTATAAGGCTATTTGGAACTCAATTTTAGTGTCCCTTATCAAAGTTTTCTCAAGCCAGAGTTAACACTCATCTTTTAATGTATGTATAGCCTATGCAGTTTGTGTACTAAACTGTTCAAGATGAGTTGTGATAGAAACTTTGTGCCTGCAACACCTAAAATGTTTACTTTCTGGCACCTCTCGGGGTTTGGGAATTAGAGCTGAGCCTCTGGATGCACTGTGGCTCTGAACACTGATTCTACTGTTTTCTGACTGTGTGATCAGGACGAGGTTAGAGAATTCCACCGTGCTTTTATTTTTTCCTCCTAAATGAAGATATAATGCTACTTTCAGCCCGAGTCATGAGATTAAAATGTGATAGTGTACATGGAGTCGTTGCTTAGTATGGTAATACTAAGTAATACTAAGGCCTATAGTAATAAGGAAAGAGACTGTACTTACAGCCATTAAACACACAAATAAGAATAAGAGTATATTGTCATTCAGAGAAACATATATGCCTATTTTAATGTTTGTTCTTATTTTTGGTAAGTCAATTCTGGTTTTTTGTGAAGTTTTGGGGACTGAACCCAGGGTCTCTTATTTGGTGGGCAAATGTTCTTCTACCATTGAGTTATATCCTCAGACCTTCCAATTCTGCTTTAAAAGCTATTTCTAACTCTGATTTTGAAAAGAGTAAGTAAGCCAGATGTGTGATGTATGCCTATGATAAAAACGCTTGGGAGCTAGGGAGGTGGCTCGGTAGGTAAAAGTGCTTGCTGCGCAAGTGTGGGGACCTGAGTTCAGATCTCTAGGATGCATGTGAAAGTTGAATGCGTAATGTGAATGTCTGTAATCCTAGTGTTCCTAAAAGAAGATGGCAGTAGAGACAAGAACATCACCGGAAGCCTGACAGTCAGCTAGCCTGCTAGCTGCAGCAAAAACAAAACCAATCAACAGAGAGACCCTGTCTCAGACAAAGTGGAAGGCAAGAACTAACCCCTGAGATTGACACCTGACCACGTACATTTTGTGACACGTACCTTTATATCCACCACACAGCACATACACACAAACACATGTACTTAGAAGGAAGCAGAATACTCTGGAATTCAAGGTCATCCAAAGCTATGAAGTAAAACTTTGCTCCAAAACTCCCCTCCAAACAACAACAAAAAGTGAAAAAACCAACGAATCTGCCCAAAGCCCTAGAGCTAGCAAGTAAGGCAGGTGTGGTTTAAGCACAGGCAGTTAGACTCCTTAGCTCAGGTTTCTTATCTTTCCTATTGTTGTGGGGCAGGTGACTCCTGGGAAAGGTCAAGGGAGCGTAGAGCTTAGGGAGAACCTTCACTTCACTGGAAAATTCTTGTCCTCGGATGTGAATGGGTGGACCTTCATAGGCATCAGGGGCGGCTGCTGAGTTCATACTCCATAGAGAAGCACTGTTGTTAGAAGTCTTAGCCTATAAAACAAGAAGCTAATCACTCTGCCAGGGCAAAAGAAGTTGAACTGTGTTTTGTAGCCTGTAGGAGAAAGTATCTTGAAACTCAGTTTAAGTGAGGTCCACTGGGTGGGAATGAGAAATGGGCATGAAGGGCTGGCTGCTTAGGTTTCAGAGTCATGTGTAGAAATAATCAAAGCTAGGCTAGGGCGTTCAAAAGGAAACATTGGCTTTGGGGAAGAATGAGCGATGATGAGACCTGTGAGAGGAGCTGATAGGAACGTGAGGGCACACCATTTCTGGCCCCTTCTGTGGCTTTGGAAATATTGTCTCTACATGTACTCCCCTCCGGGTCACATGATTTTAGGTGTATATATGAGCTTTACATATTTAAAATATCTGCTCATTTTTTTAGTGTGACATTTACTTACTGGAACCTTTTAAATTTCATTTTAGTTGTTTGAGCTTCTCAATTTCTTAGCGGAGAATTTCATCTTTTCCTACATGGGACTGACGCTGTTCACCTTCCAAAACCATGTCTTCAACCCAACATTTGTAGTAGGAGCATTTGTATCCTTTATCTAATGTGTCTGTTTGGAAAATGATTTTAATTGAGTTCTTCATGTGGTTTCGGGCATGTAGTTGATAAAATACTTAAATGTGATTTTTTTTGTTTTAAATGTGATTTTTTTTTCTTGAGAAATCAAGGATATAAATTGTTTTTTCTCAGTTCCATTCTAATCATTTTTCCTGTTCTATTTCTATTTGGGTTTATTGCACAAAAATGTTGACAGATCGCAGTGACAGAAGTCTCTCCTACCCTGCTGACCTCAAAGGTAAAGTATTTGTCCCTCGCTAGGCATGGCAGTACTTACCTATAATCCCTGTGAAGGTACGAGTACCTGAAATGTCAGATCTTTTGACACGCCCATTTCTCAAAATCCAATTTGAAAATGAAGCAGTGGAGTAGCTTGAGAACCAGCTGCTTCCCAGGAAAACCCTGTCTTCCTTCTCCAGCATAGCACAATAGAAGGAAGAAAAACTGTTGTCTGTTACTAAAGGAGAGAGAGAAACCTTGACTATGGGGAAATGTTAGAGTCTGTACCATAAGGCAACATGTCATATATGAGGAAGGTTGAATAAGGTCACATCTTTTTCTCTGTTTCATATAAATGAACACTTTTATCTTTAGAGCAAACTTTAGGAGCTGACAAAATGTCTCTGAGGGTAAAGATGCTTGTCACCGTGCCTGACAATCTTAGTTCATTCCTTGGGACCCATGTGATAGAAGTTGAGAACTGACTTGTGCAAGTTGGCTTCTGACCTCCACATGAATAAATAAATAAATGTAATAAAATAAATAACAAAGAGTAAAACCAGGGGCTAGAGAGAAGGCTCAGAGGTTAAGAGCACTGGTTGCTCTTCCAGAGGTTCTGAATTCAATTCCCAGAAACCACATGGTGGCTCACAACCATCTGTAATAAGATCTTTACATGGTGCCTTTTTCTAGCCTGCAAGCATACATACAGACAGAACACTGTATGCATAATACATAGATAAATCTCTTTTTAAAAAGTAAGAGCAACTTGAAAGAAGAATTTGAGAATATGAAAGCTATCCTCATGGCAAGATGGGACAGGTGGACTCTGAAGTATATAGAGAGGCCTTGGCCTCTGCTCAGAGCAGCTTCCCCAGCGAGTGAAGGAAAGGTGGTGAGAAAGTGGAGCTCCTAGCTGATAGCTTCTGTTTTATAAAGTAGGAAGTGATAGTGCCTGCTGAGAGTTGAGTGGTGTACAAGTTCTTTGTTGTGTAAGAAATAAGCTGGAAACTTAGCATTCTTTACCTCACACAGTATCTGGGGGCTAGGAATCCTGGAATATCTTAGCTGAGTGATTCTGGCTCCATAGCCTCTCAGGAGGTTACAGTGACATGGTTTGCTGGTAAGGCGCTCAGGACTTATCTGGGGCTGGAGGAACCATGCCAACCTCACTCATGGCTGTCAGCAGAAAGGACCATATTTCTATAGGACGTTTCCATAGGGGAAGTTTCCCAGAGTGAGTGAGCTGAAAGTCCAAGATGGAAGGCAAGGTGCCCTTTATAGAGCAGTTGTTGGAAGTGAAATCTCATCATCACTTCTGCTGTATCTGCTGGTCATACAGACCAACCGTGGTACAGCGTGAGTGGGAATCACACTCCCTAACAGGCGGCAGGGGTCATTAGGGACCATCTTGGAGGGCTGGCTCCCACAGATAAGTTTGGGGGAAGGCAGAGAGAAAGTTTATGAAGTAGGCATGGGGAGTTAGGGGAGAGTTGACCAAAAGATTGCAACATGACTGCTGAGCATTAAATGGGGACCAATTTGACTAAGAAACAGGTATTTGTAAGATACCAATCTTCCATGTCATGCGAGTCTGACCAGGAAGATTAGTGGTAAGCACAGGAAAAAAGACACAGTGGGTCCATTGAGGTTTATGGTTTTGCCGAGTGAATATGGTGGAAACAGAAAAGAACAAAGTAGATGTAGGCTGTGGAGAAGAAGGGAAGCGAGAAGAAGTGGGCTGGCCATCAGAGGCAGGACTAGCGTGGTCTTTGGGCTGAAGAGCCAGATAGCTGGAAAAGTGGAAGGAAAGAGTGTGTCAGGGAAATGAATGCTTAAATAAGTGGTTTTCAAAAGAAGCAGTAAAAACACTTAAGAATCAAGATTCTGACAGGGAGCAGTAAAATTTCTAAAAAAAAAATTTTAAACCGTACAAGATCTATGTTAGAAAGTGAGATTTTATTGAAATACTATTCTATAGTCTTACAGCAAAACAACAAAGTCCTGTCAATAAGAGGAGCATCTTAGCTGGAAGACAAGTGCTGAGTTCAGCCGCTCTAGCACTCGTCACTATTAAAAATTTTTTGAGTAGCCACAGTACTTTAATCTGTAGTAGTTAGCCTAGAAATAAGGTTAAATAATTCCAGGGTTTCTGAGTTTGTTAGAATTTGAGATTATCAAGAAAGAATCTATGAAAATGATTTTTAACAAGGTCAAAGCTGTCCTGTCTCTAGGTTACATTTGCTTCGTGTGACAGTGACTCAAATTGACCCAGGTTTAAATGAGTAAAATGAGACATAAGTTTATTTTTTATGTAAAAGTTTGAGTTTGTGTGACTATGGAATTGTTATGAACTCGGGGGCAGGCTTGGCACTGTTCTCTGCAGGGAGTTGCCTGCATTCTTGTGGTCCATGGCACCTGACCCTTTGCCTCCTAATTATCTTTAAGGGCACTGCCCAGAAGTGTACATACTGCTTGCACATAACAAGGCTGGCAACACCTACCTGCACGGGAAGCTAAGACTCATACTCTATCTGGATGCCTGTCAAAAATTGGGACTAAAAGGGAGGAGGGTCCTGTGCGCAGAAGAAAAGACTAGGCATGTGTTTGTGAAATCTAGCAGTGTTGCCACACACCTCCCATGCCTTTTTGCTGCTCTTACTTTTTCCTTTTTTAGTGGAATTAATTTCAAAGAAATTTTAGATTTTAGTGTCTTTATGTTTATGACAAGAATAATGAAGACAGCACAGAAAGCTGTCCTATACATCACGCCCAAGTTCCCCATTAGCACCTGACATCAGCATAGTACATTCGTCACAAGGAACGAAGCCTGTACTGGTCCATTAAGTCAAGTTCATGCTCATCCTGAGTCCCATGGCCTTCCTACAGCCTACTGTTGCTATATCAAGGTCCTAGCCAGGACAGCACATTGCATTTGCTGTGTAGATTTCTTTGGGTTCCATTTGACTGACAGCTTCTCAGTTGTTCCTTGATTTTAGTGAGCCCTGAAAAACTTGGAAATAGTGACCAGGTGTTTTGTAGAGTGTTTCTCAATTGAAGTTGTCTCGTGGTATCCCCAAGATGACACTGGGGTACACGTTTTTTGGAGGAATGCTGGGGAAGTAAAGTGCTGTTGTCATCACCATGGAGACGGCACCGATTTCCTAACATTAATGTGCTGATGTTAGTTAGTCACGTGGCTGCCAGGTTTCCCCGTTGCAAGGTGGCTCCTGTTTCTCTATCTTGTCCTGCTTGGAAAAGAAGCCACCCCATGCAGCCCGCGTTTAGGGAGTGTGAAGTTAGGGTTCATCTCCCTGAGGACTAAATTTTTACAAAATGGTTTGTAATTCTTTACACAGAGATTCGTCTGTTCTTTGTCACTTGATGTTCTGTTTAGTTCTTTATTTCTAGTAGTATTTATTTGAATAATGCATATTCATTGTCTTATATATTAGATTTTTATATTTATTTATTTATTTATTATGTATACAATATTCTGTCTGCAGGCCAGAAGAGGACACCAGACCTCATTACAGATGGTTGTGAGCTACCATGTGGTTGCTGGGAATTGAACTCAGGACCTTTGGAAGAGCAGGCAGTGCTCTTAACCACTGAGCCATCTCTCCAGCCCCCTAGATTATTTACATTTTAAAAAATTTACTTGTTCAAACTGTCCCAGCTTTAGTCATCAGGAGCTTGTTTGGTAGCCCCCCACTTCTATTTGACATGCCATGTCATTGTGGTTTGGGGATTGGGGTTTTGTTTTTTAACACTTCCTTACTTTCTGGAAGTATAAGATGCTTCTGCTCATTTTGTGCACTTTATGACCAAGAACTGTCCATTTCTCCAAGGAATTCTGGTTCCTTTTATTGGGAAAGATGGTATTGGAAACCAAGATCTGGGTTTGGGTGTGCTCAGGGATACTGGTCTTCTAGACCAGTTGTTCTCTACCTATGGGTCACGACCCCTTTGCAGACCTAACAACGCTTTCACAGGGGTTACTCAAAACTATCAGAAAACACACATTTTTGTGTTACAATTCATAACAGTACCAAAACTGCAGTTATGAAGGAGCAGCAAAAATAATTCTATATTTGGAAGTCACCACAACATAAGAAATTGTGTTAAAGGGTTGTAGCATTAAGGAAGTGGAGAACACTGTTCTAGACCCTGTCCGTGGACAGAGGAAGGTGCTGTCCATGTATATAGTAAGTCATGTACATAATACATCCAGCCATAAATATTTGTTTGTAACCATTGGCATCTCCTGTCATGAGTTTATACTGATGTCTCCAACTGTAACCTATTACCATCAACAGAGCACTGTTTCCCTTGTTGGTTAGTACACGTCCATTCAGTTATTTAGTTGTTTAGTTGCAGTATATGTAGATGCTCATGTGCTGCTTAAAGGTGGAGAAATGTTTGGAGAAATGCGTCATCAGGCGGTTTGGTCACTGTGAGCATCATACAATATATTTATGTAAACCTACATGACATAAGTAAGTTATTTAAGGAGCTTTTTGATTCAGTTAGGAGAGTTGATAAATATGAGATATATGGGGTCTGTTGCTGATTTAACAGCATGCTATTTCACAGGAAGCTTTTTTCTTTTTTTTTTTTCTGTTTTTTTGAGACAGGGTTTCTCTGTGTAACAGCCCTAGCTGTCCTGGAACTAGCTCTTGTAGACCAGGCTGGCCTCAAACTCACAAAGATCCGCCTGTCTCTGCCTCCCAAGTGCTGTGGCTAAAGGCGTGCGCCACCACCACCCGCTCCCAGTAAACTTTTTTTACTCATGCCATGGGATATGTGTGGTTGTCTGAGAATAACTTTTAAGACTCAGTTCTCTCCTTCACTATGTGGGTCCCAGGAATTGACCTAAGGTTCTCAAGCTTAGCAGCAAACACCTTTACTTACTGAACCATCTCCCCAACTGGTGCAAACTTTTTGTTTGGTAAGTAGAAAGAATACACTAAAATAATGACAGAAAGTATATAGTAGATATATAAATATATAATATAGTAGATATGTAAAACCAATAACAATCACTTCTTACCAGCTATTGTGGACTGCACATAATTGCATTGCTGTTCTTGTATATGGGGCAGCATAGTAGGTTTGTTTGTGCCAGCATCAGCATAGACATGTGAATAATGTTAATCTGTCATTAGACAAAAAGAATCTTTCACCTCCATTATAATTATATGGGACCACTGTGGTGTACGTACTCTTGGCTATATGACATTGCTAGCATTGTTAGTACTTCCCTGAAAAACAACTCCATCAACAAACATTCCATTTTCTCTTTTTTGTTCATTGAATTTTAGGTGAGGTCTTGTGTATCTCAGGTTAGCCTCAAACCCATTGTTTATCCAAGGCCAACTTTCAACTCCTGCCCTCCTGCTTCTACCTCTTATGCCAAGGTAATCTACTGTTACATGCACCCTTTTGCCATTGGCCTTAGCCATTGCACTCTCTTTGAAAGGTGTTTGTTTACATCAACACTCTTTCAACCATGCTGCTTTGCTTTTACTGTTCCATTTCCCTTTCTAGTCCTTTTAGGAAATGTAGTGGGGATGGCATTGTTTACCCTGCAGTACAATTTGTAATTCTAAAGCACGGTTTCTGAGACAATGAATGGAGAAAAAGACACCCAAACTGTTTCTTACTTAAGACCCATCTGACTTGACATGAAATCTGATCTTTTTGCAGGTTTCTGTGTACATTTCGTGAGACCCAGCAGGGCTTTGCAGGAATTTCAATGGCATGAAGTGACTGAGCTGCCCTTTTTGTATTTTTAGGAAGGACTGGGCAGTTTCGCTGGCATGACTCTTCTTCCTCTCAACACTGCAGTGGAAATGATGTGTCTGTGCTGTTGATCATAAAGAAGGCCCTTTTTTATACATCTTTTTCTTCACTTTGTAAATCTCCTACATGGTGGACATACGCTATCAAGTCTGGTAACAACTAGCCACATGTGATTATTTCCATTTAAATTCATTTGAATGAAATAAAATTACACTGGCAGTTCCCTAGTCATAGTGACTGTATTCCAGCTGCTCTGTGGATATAGACCATTGTGACAGACAGCACTGTGTTAGACAGAGTGCTTGCTTGCCATCTCAAATGTGTAGCTTATATTCCCAGTAGTCAAAGCAATGATCCTTAACCTCCTAATGATTTTAGATTGCTATATTCTTGGGAAGAGCTGCCAATATTTATCCCTTGTCTCTCTTACTTAATTTGGGCAGAAGAAGTAAGATTGGATCAAATTTTCAGCACATGATGATGTTTGCTGGTAAGTTGCAATTTCTTCTCTTTTCTACCCCCAAACTACCATTCGTGCTGCATATGCTAACTTCGATAGCTGAAGATGGAGGTATTGTGTTGGAAACATTGACACTGAATCCTCAAATAGAAAGCTTCTTACCATTTCCCTGTCTCTTTTGTGGGAACTTTTCACACTCCACTTCCAAATCTTCGGTTTCAAAATACACCGTACAAAGTAAATAAGTTAAAGATGCATAATATTTTGCAGAAAAACCTGCAAGTGCATATTTATATCAGTTCTAGCCAATAACTGCCAAAAATCTACAAATAGCTTGCTTTTTTTTTTCTTTTGCTCAGTTCTAGGATTGAACCTAGTGCCTTAGGCATGCCAAGTGAACACTTTACCATTAAGATGCTATAGTACCTATATCTATATTTCCCCAGCTTCTCCCCCTAAAAAAGTTTTGCTTTTGAAGATTGGGTCTAAGTTGTTCAGACACTGACTTTGAAGTTACTGTATAGTTCAAGCAAGCCTTGAATTTATTTGTGACTCTCCTGCTTCAGCCTTCTGTGTAGCAGACCCACCACCAGACCTGCATTTGTCTGTCTCTCAGTGGACAAATGGGGCAGAGAAGCAAGGACCTGATAAAGCCCTTCTGTGGAAAATTCCTAAATGATAAAAAGAACAAACTTTTATTCACATAGTAGCATGGATGAGTCTTTGAAGTATTATGTTGAATGAAGGAAGTCAGTCTCAAAATTTGCATGTATGATTCTATTGATGTGATATATTTTTTAAGATTTTATTTATTTCATTTTATGTATATGACTGTTCTAGCTGCATGTATGCCAGATGGTTGTGAGTCACAACGTGGGTGCTGGGAATTGAACTCAGGACCTCTGGAAGAGCAGCCAATGCTCTTAACTGCTGAGCCATCTCTCCAGCCTGATGTGGTATTTTTAAAAGACAAAATAATAGTGATGCAGAGCAGGCCGGGGCGATGAGGAACTGGGCTAGTGGGTAGCACAAAGTAATTTGGACAGGAAGAGTAAAATTTTAGCTCTGTTTTGATTGTGGCAATGGTCCCATTGTCAAAACATTATAAATTGAATTTACTATACATAAGTTACTAAATTTTAAAGAATTGTTAAGAGATCGAGCTGGATATGGTAGCATATGCATGCAGTCCCAGCATTTGTGTGACTGATGCAGGAGGACTGTAAATTTGAGACCAGCCTGAGCTACAGTAACAAGACCCTGTCTGAAAAGTCAAACAAGCAGAAAATCGATGAAAGTCAGTATTATATACTAACTCTGGCGGTCATTCTTTACATATGTTAAATATTTTATATTTGTCTATATGCTCTCAAGTTTTGAGGTTATGTTTTATGTCTCTGAGTTTATATAGTCTACATTGGTGAGGAGTTATTGAAGAAATTCTTCCGCTGTTTCCTATAGGCCTTCGTGGTGCAATGGCCTTTGCCTTGGCCATTCGCGATACTGCCACTTATGCACGCCAAATGATGTTCAGCACCACACTTCTGATTGTGTTTTTTACTGTGTGGGTATTTGGTGGTGGCACTACTGCCATGTTGTCATGCTTGCATATAAGGTAAGTCGGAACTGGGAACCTCATTTTCACATTCCATGTTAATTCAGTTTACTTTTATTTTTAGTCATTAGAAGATTTTAAGCTTTGTCAAATCTTTTCATTTCTTTTCCTTCTTAAAAAGTGCATAGCATAATATAGAAATGTAACATGATTAATAGAAACCCAGGACAGAAAGGGGTTCCACCTGAAGGTCAGAAAAGCAAAACAGCCAGCCACTGACTCTTATCTGTACCTCAGTCTGAAATGGCGATGCTGCATCCAGGAATCTCGGAATGAGACTGTGTGAGAGCTGTCTCCTCCCATCTTGTAATCCTCTCTAGGGCTTGAATTAAAAGCATGCACCACGACCTCCCGGTTTCTATGGCAAACCACTATGGTTACCGGGGTTAAAGGTGTGTGCCACCAATGCCTGGTCTGTAAGGCTGACCAGTGCAGCTGTTTTACTCTCTAATCTTCAGGCAAGCTTTAGTTATTAAAATACACATGAAAAGCATTATTACTATTCTAAAGGTTAGCAGTCCAGACCTTTGCTTTGCATTTCCGCAAATGGGCAACACTGAAGTGCTCTTCAGACTAGTTTTGAGATGTGATGACAGAAGAAAATGTGTACAGCGTGAGCATTTGCCCTGCTAAATATCATGTTATTTCAATAACAGCATATATCCTGGTTGCTTTAACCAAATTCCTGTTGTAATTTTGTATTGTTTTTAGGCTTTAGCTATTTCCATCTGAGGGTTTTGCTTTCACTACTAACAAATGAATGCTCAAAACCACCGTGCTCTTGTTTAATTATTTCTTTAGGATGCATTTTCGGAAGGGGGATTGATTAAGCCATAAGATACACATGTATTTAAGGCTTTTGGTCAGATTACCAAATTCAATCCATCAGCATTGTGTAAGAGTCCAGTTCACCAAACTCTAATCAGTACTAGACATTATTCCTTTCATCTTTCCAGTCAGCACCATTTCTGACCTCACAAACCTACCAAGGTCAAAGTGATGTAGTCATGGTCTTCAGTGTGTACTGCTTAATGTATTCAGTTTGAAAGCTCTTTTGTATCTCGAGTTCTGCATTTGTTTCCATGGATACAGCAGCTTGTGTCTGAAGTCTTTATGGATTGCGGTTCTGTGTTTGGCTGAAATGTCATAGATGTTAAGAGCTACCAAGCTTCCAGGATATATGGGCCTCATTTGAAAAAACAATGTTTCACCTAATAAGAGAATCTGTCATTTGCTTCTTTTTACTTTCTATTATGCCTTTTATTCAAAGACAAGCTAACTCTTAATTACACAGTAAATGTTGTTAATGTCTTAATCTCTCTTTACTATTCAAATCCCTTCTAATTTTTGTGTTATTTCTGTGTATAGTAGATAATATAGTACAGCATATGCTTTTATACATCCAGTAATGTTCTTATAATCCTACTTACCCCTTGTAAGAGGACTTGACATTTATTAAGCACCTACTATGTGCCAGGCATTCTGTTAAGTGTGTTTAGTAACCATAGTAACTATTTTCTAAAAAATACAGGCTTTGTTAATTGCCCAATATTCTACAAATAATTAAGTGGTAGACAGAGGAACTTCTGTTCCTTGCTCCTTCAGACATGATTCATCAAGAAATGAGTGGTAAATTTTGAAAAGAGTAAACTGCTTTCTTTTCTCAAAAGCTTGGAACTGAAGACTCTTGCAAGGAGAGTCAAACCAGTGTGAGCTAGCTTAGAAGAACTAGAACTCATCAGTGGAAAATCAGTTTGTTCCCCTCACTGCCCTCTACTCGCAGCAAACAAAAGCCCCATCCTTACCATCCTCCTCCAGAGAGAAAAGAAATCCCACCTCTGTCACTAGATTTGAAAGCTCCTTGCCTGGCCCCATCTTGCCTACTTTCCAGCACAGTTGGAGGCTTAATCATATCCACTGCCCTGTAGTTTTAGACTACTCCTTAGTTTCTTGTTTTATTGCAGTGTTTGGGCCTGCTTGTGAACAGAGATTATACGTTAATTTTTAAATGTTTTAATTAATTGAAATAGAAGTATATCACTTTCCTCCCTCTAATCCCTCTCAGGTACCTTCCTTAAACCCCTCCCATCTCCCTCCAATCTCAAGTGAGGCTATATATTTTTATAGTCCTTACTGGGTACTTTATTGAATGTAGTGAATCACACTAGCATGTCAAGTAGTTATGAAACATATAGTCTTAATTTTTTATATTTTAATTCACATTGTTGCTTTAACTTTTAAACATGTATTGACTTAAAATGTTATTTATCACATTTACTTAATAGTTATATCACATATCTTTCATTTTCTCTATTTTAACTATTAGTAAATTCTTAATAATTAGCATAAATAGAAAATTTCAGTACTTTTAAGGCATTTACTATTCTGTAATTATTATTAGTTTATCTTTTTATTAGCATTTAAAGCCTAGAAAGTTTTTTCCTTCCTAGCAATATTAGGGAGTAAAGGTGAAGGCTGTGTTTTAAGCACTTCTTCTCTTCCACCTATTTAGTGGTGTAATTTTGAAGCTGCTGAGTTGGGACTGTTGAAGATTTGTGTACCCACCAATTTAACCTTTGCATTCTTGGTCCTTCCTTCTTAATTTTGGGCAAGGCCTTTGATCGTTCAGAGCCTCAGTTTCTCCATGTGTAGCATGCCTCCCATTCCCTGGAGTTGTGAGGATTTAGCGAACTGGAAGCTGCACAGCTCTACACAACATTTCAAGTGTGTCTTCTATGCAGTCACTCACTAAGTATTTATTGAGCACTCACAGTTTGATGGACACTCCTTGTTTCAACTTCCAGCTCACTAGTTCTTAGCAGATTATTTTGTCTTCTTGGAGGATAATTAACAATATTTGGAGACATTGCTGACAGTCACCACTAGGAGAAGGGACTGCCGTTGCTATCTAGTAGGTCAGCACTCTGTTTAGCATCCTACAGGGCACAGACTTGGCTACTGTCTAGACTTGCAATTAAAGAATTATCTGACCCCAAATATCAGTAGTGCTAAAATGAAGTAACTTTATTCAAAAGGACAGTGACAATAAAAAGATAGGAAAGATCTATATTCCCATTTTGTTAGAAAAGTGATAAAAGAAAAACATAGTAAATAAATAAATGACCTTGACAGTTCTAGATGATACTAAATGTGATGGAAATTAAGATGTTGTGATTGTGACTGGGAATGTGGTATATATGATACGAAGAAGCCAGGGAAGGCCTCTTGGAAAGGTTATATTTGAGCTCAGTCTGGCCAGTTCAACGGCGACCAGGAAGAGCAGTCCAGACAGAGCAGTCCAGCAGCAAAGGCCGCAAGGCAGAAACAGATGTGACCTGTTTGACACAGAGAAAAGCTTACATGATGAGAGTGATCAAATGGTAAGTAGAGAAAAATAGGTGGACGAGACCCTAAAGGGTCAGGGTTCTGAAAACTACCTGTGAAGGGCCAGAAGCAAAGCTTTTAGACTCCCTCAGTCATGTGATCTGCCTCAGCCACGCAGATCTGGTGTCACAAGCAGCCACAGGTGATGTGGAATCACATTAGTACGGTTGTGTTCCAACAGGACCTTATTTAGCACTGGATATACATGAGGGCTGTAGTTTGGCTCTCCTGTAGGGTCTTGTAGTATATAGTGAAGACTTTGGATTTGAAAATACAGTGGACATCTTGAGGATATTAAAGCAAGGGAGTGACATGCTCTAATTTCCAGTGTAAAAAGATTATGTCCTCTCTTTCGGGAGCAGTGGCTCCCCAGTGAATGAATCAGCTTGCACCCTTTCACCTCATTTCTGACAGTCACAGTTGGCACCCTGTCATTTAGCAAGCACACATGCTCTGCATTTCTTTGTCTCTGAGCCTTTGCTTGGCCTGGGATTCTCTTTCATTCTTAGGAACTGACAGAACCACCCTCCCCTTCCCCCATTCTTTTTTCTTGGAGTTGCTGTGTAGCATTGGGTCTGCCTGTCACAGCAATTATCCCATTCATCCTTGTGATGCAGTATTTCTAGAAGAGCTACCCATTACTTAGCACTAGTGATGCATCAAGCACTTTAAAAGTTTCTCAGTACATTTTCTCATTTAATCCTTGCAGCAACACTTGGTGGTGATACTAGCTCCATTTTCTGTGTGACATAATTGCAGTCTTTAGGGCCACATAGCCTGATTGAGCTCACATAGCTAGAAATTACCCTGGATTAGTCCTGAGCTCATCCTGTCTTACCAGCAAACTCTGAGTCTGCTATAGTTGAATCTGTTTCTCCACTAGTCTGTGAGCTCCTTGAGGGTAGGACCATGTTTGATTCATGTCTATGCCCTGTGCCTAACGCAGTGCCTGGCAAATAATAAGTGCTCTATAAATGTTTATTCCATTGGTTTTGGATAATGTGCCATTTGAATGTTTAAATGTTCTATCCTCTAGACCACTAGATGTCACTTGAGATGCATAAATGTGGTGAGAATCCACTGTGCCTGGGAAGCTGTTAAACAGTGTCTGGCCATTTTTAACAAAGTGAAAATAAGTCTTTGTTGAGTTTTCAATCTGGTCATGGTCATCGGTTTTCAAATACTTGACCATGACTCCCTTGCATTCCAGATAGAGTTTTGTATCATTTTCCTCCACTGAGTGTTGTCTTTGCACATGTTGCTACAGCTTCTTGTACTGCTGTGTTGTCTGTGCTATCTGTAGTTGGTAACCGAATTAATAAACATTTGAGCACCTATTGTATGTCAGGTAATATGCTAGACTTTGGGGATACAGAGATGAATTGAGACATGGCCTTTACCCTCAAAGAGCTCACAGTCTTTTTGGGGAGACGGACAGGTAAATAACTATACTGTGCTGTGAAGTGTGTTTAGAATAAGAACTCTGTGCTACAGAAGCACAAAGGGGAGGTAATTCTGTATGAACAGCTCATAGAGCAGCTACTTTGGCACCTGACAAATGAGTAGAAAACTGAGGGTACTGAGGGAAGGAGGGGCATGAGCTAACAAAAGTATCGACTCTAGGAGCTGACAAGGGTCTGGGAGAGGAGGGTTAGAGTATGATAGGGCATATGGAAGAAATTGACTGGCAGAGGGGGGTGGAAAGGTAGGTTGGAGTAAAGGGTGGTCACTAGTGGGTACAAAGTTTCAGATGTCCTACAAAGTACTTTAGATGTGACAATCAGGGTTGTAAGTTGTTTTCAGAAGCTTCTGTGAAAACAGTGACCTAGAGAGTTCCATGCTATCCAGAGTTAACTCTCAGGGAGAGCCTGGCAGCTGGAAAGGCTTACTCAACAGAATCCATGAGTCAGGATAAGGGCTGAAACAGCGGGGATGGAAGGAGAGGAGGGCTGACAGGCAGGGCAGGAGAAAGAACAGAGTTGGCAAGTTCCAAGACTAGAGAGGAGACTCAGAACAGGCCAATGAAGTTGTTCCCTGGGATGCCCAAAGAAGGAATTTGATGTAGGTACATAGGAATTATGAGGAACCAAGGTTGATGTCCATCAATTACCCTGCAGTCCCCTTCGACTGGACCCCCGTCTGTCCTCTTAACAATATTTCCACGAGAGCCGTGCTCCAGCTGTGGTTGGAATCGTTCTAATCATTCTTACTGAGTAATTGGGGCAGTTTCTCTCCCTCACTACTTAGAGTGGACTGACATTCAGAGCAGAAATGCTATTTTACTGAAACTGGTAAGTGGGATTTTAGGAATAGAACATTTGCCCTGTTTGTCTTAGACCCAAGGCTGTTTCTAAAGAAAGTGGAAGGCCGTCAGAAATGTCCCCCACAATCTATAGAGAAAAGGGAACATTAACCATTTTGGAGCTTCTGTGTTGAGAAAAATATTTGCCTGACAGTGTACATATGTGAGTAGATCTTCTATTGGCTTCCAAAATCTCATTTGCTCTTTGTGTTTTTCCTTTAGGGTTGGTGTTGATTCAGACCAAGAACATTTGGTAAATATGTGCTTGTGTTCTCCCTGGCATTTCTGTCCAGTGTTCAGTCGTTTGGAAAGAAAACTGTCTCTCTTAGACTTCATGCCGCTTTTTAGATCCTGTTTTGTTTGCTTTTAACTGACATGTCTGATTTCTCACTACTCCATGAAACAGAACCATAGTTTAGACAGCATGTGGCTATCAAGGGTGCCAGCTTTCCTATCTGTGGCCATCCTGGGGCTTTGCCACGGAGGAGAATAGGCTCTTCAGTGCGCCTGGGTGTTCCAGTGACTGCTCTAGCACAGGTAGCCTTTTTCCACTCTGGTTGCGCATGAAGGCTTGTCTCTGATGTCAGCCCCACTCCAGCTGCTCTTCCTGTGTAACTTTCAAATTGGATGACCAGCAGCTGCCCTTGAGAACTGTCTAGAATCTTCTGAATGTCCAGCTGGTGCCCCTGCATGTTTGGGGGGTTACACTCTCTTAGCATAAGCCTCAACTTTTCCAATACAACGCCTCACTTCCTTCCTTAAGTGTGTCAGTTTCTCAGCTGCTCCTATGATCTGCAGACTTGTAGACCGAACACAGCAGAACTGTTTGCCCTCATGAGACTGACCACCCTTTCTGATATTTTCCACCCTCTTTTGTAATGGTTTCTGAGCACCACTGAGTAAGTGGTTATCTAGTACACATTACATGAGGTTTTTGAAGATGGAAAATATCTTTTGAAACATAATTCCTATTATTTTCTGAAAGAAGCCGTGGTATATTTTTCTGCACTGTATGCTTTAAAAGAAAGCATTTACTCGATTCATTTCCCAAGTGCTAATTTTGAGTGATGACTGTGTGCGTGTGTGCATGTGATAGAGTAAGTTCTTGCTAATTTTGTGGTCAGAATCTTAAAGTAGAATTCCCTGGACAAACCAGATTATATACTTTTACATCCTGCCAGGCTTTTGAGATAGTTCCAAGGGCTGCTTGTTTCTCAGTAGTGATTAAACATTACATTTGCATAGCCCTGTTACCCTTCACCATGAAGGAGAAAGAAGGGAAAGAGCCAGATAGGTGACTAGCATTTGTGGCAAACAGAAAGAAATAGTTTTCCATTGCTTTCAGAACCCCATGGGCAGACGTTAGCCAGACGGCCCAGTGGGTAAAGGTGCTTGCTGAAAAGCCTGACAGCCTGACTGACAGGAGGAGAGCTCATAAAGGTGGAATGAAAGAAGTGACCCCACAAAGTTGTTCTCAGACCTCCGCATGCATACTGTGTGTGTGCAACCCCCCCCCCCCCACGCACACACAGATGAAAAGAGATACAATTGAGAAATGGAAACCCCATGGGCATCTCAATTGCATTGTTTACCAGTAATTGCTTATGTCCATTATGAGGCTTGAGGAACATTCTAGTCAGTATGAAGCTTAGGGGTACACAGTAGTTATATGGTAACTGTAGATGATTTGCTTTACAAGACGTGAAGGCAGGGCCAACAAGATGACTCAGTGAGGGAAAGTGCTTGCTGAGCAAGTCTGGAAGTCCTGAGTTCAATTCCTGGAACAGATGCTGGAAGACAACAGTCTCTAATACACCAAATAAATAAAGAAATAAACAAAGAAATGAATAAATAAATAATAACAACAATAATACAATAGTAGTAGTAGTAAAAGTAGTAATAGTAATAACAATAAATTTAAAAAGAAGTGAAGGTAAAACTTTGAAAATGAGGCAGTTCCACAGATCAGAAGTATAGCTCACTGATAGAACGTGTAATTAGTTTGCACAAGGTCCTGGATTCCCTCCCCAGCAGCAAAAATTAAAGAAGAAAATACGAAGTGAAGTCATGAGAAACTTAATGATATAAAAGCAAGTTCAGAAGTTCTTGCGTGCTTGTGAGCACATGCAATATTCTCAGATATTTTTATAGTATTTATGTATATGTGGATTCAAGTTGAGGGGCAAAGTAAACTGGGATTGAAAGGGCAGGAAAGAAACAAAACCTAGACTCTAAACTCTATGCCCTTAAAAAAGTCACAGAACCATGGAACATTAGTTCTGGAAAGGGCCTTGGTGAATCTGCATTGCTTGCGTTTTATATGTGAAGAAACTTAGGAAGGAGGTTTGCCCCAATAATTAATGTCAGTGAGCCAGGACTGGAGCTGGATAGCCTAACTGACTATGATCATCCCATATTACAAATGAGGGCATTTCATATTTTTGTAAGCCATTTTAGAAGCTGTCTTTTTGCTGGGTTAGTCTCCCTCCTAGTCAGTGAGTTCTGCCATAGCATTTCCTTGTTTTCATTTTGCCACTGTGTTCTGAGCATAGTAGCAACTTGAAAAGGCCAGTTTATTTTTGAAGTCCATGGCACAGCTCTCCAAATATAGGGTGAGATGTTTTCTTCTGTAGGTGCCACTGCGTCAGCAGTGCAAGTCTTTCAGATTGAGGAGGGGAATTAGTGTGCACCGACTTTTCTTTAAGCTGTATGTGTGTTCGTGTGTGTGTTCACACATGGGTATGTATGCACGTGCCACAGTACATATGGTCAGAGTCCAGCCTTGAGTATAGTAAAATAGGATCTCTTTGACGTTGATTGCTATGCACACCAGGCTTACTGGTCCATGAGCTTCCAGAAATTTTCCTGTCTTCACATCCTATCTCACTGTTATTAGCATTGGGGTTACAGAGAAGTGTTGCTATGCCTGGCTTCATGTAGGTTTTGAGAATTCGAACTTGGGTCTTCATGCTTGCATGGCAAGTACTTTTGTCACAGAGACATCTCCTTAGGCCGCCACATTGATTTTTTTATATTTTTTGAAATTATAATTACATATTATTTCCCTGTTTCATTCTCCCTCTGGCCTCTCCCTTATATCCCGTCCTTGTTCTCCTTTTCAAATTCATGGCCTCCTTTTCTTGAATTGACTCCATGTTGATTTTTAAGTGGCGATATAATCATCAATTAGTAAGCTGCCTGAGTCAGAGATGCTTAGAAAAACATTGCAGTTTCCTACACAAGCCACCGAATGGCTAATGTTACCCATGTTGGACGCTATCTTTGGTGAAGGCTCTATTTCTGATTCTACGAAGGAATGGCTCTAAATAAACCTGTCTGCATCTGTGGGATTGATTTATGTATCATCTGTCTGCAGGGTGTTCCTGAAAATGAAAGGAGAACTACCAAAGCAGAGAGTGCCTGGCTCTTTCGGATGTGGTACAACTTTGATCATAAGTATCCTTAATGATAAAAGATGCTGGTCCAGGCGTGGATAAGCACAGCTTAGTGAAACGATTCAGTGCGAGCATGGGTGCACCTGTGAGTGTCTGTGTGGGGAAATGCTAGGGACGAACCCGCCAACTTATACATGCTAAGCATGTACTGAGCTACTCAGCTACAGCTGCAGCCCCGGAACAGCTCTTTTGCCTTCCTGAAGCATAATATAAAACCTGGCTCTCTCCATAAGTGTAGAAATACATTCCCACCAATGAATTCCTTTGCAAACCCAGGGAACCAGTAGGCACTGGTTACAGTAACAACTGACTGTACGGAGAGAAATCCAGAGCCTAAATGACATAGCTAATTTTTTAGATATTGGTTTATTTGTTGAGTAAACTTTAGTATTTGATGTCCTTGAGATGATTTGGAGAATTCTGTGGGAGATATTCCTTGCTTGTCACTGTACTTGCTAGGGTGGAAGGAAGCCTTAGGGGAAAGCACGAGATGAAATGCACTTCTCTAGAAGCTGCCTTTCTCCTCTGAGTTAAGGGCAGAATGTCTTTTCTTCCTCAGCCTTTCTCAAGACCAAATATTCTCTTTTCAGAATGCCTTTGTGATAAAAAAAAAAACCTTGTATGTTTAGGAAAAGTACTCTTGCCCTCATGATTAGAAGCCACTGCTTACTATATTCTGTTTACTAGATTTTCACCTCCGTTTCTGTAAGTACTTCAAATTAAATTACCATGTACATACAAAAATCCAAGCATATCTGTGGCATTAAGGCTCCCATTAGGGAGTGAAGGCCGGGGTTTTTTAAATAGCTTAAAGATTATGTCATTACTTTTGGCTCCATTACCAGCATCTTGGATGTATGCCATTCCCATATCTCTTGGGGGTTTTTCATTCCTCCTATTTAACATTTTTTAGTTTTCTAGAATAAAACGTACATTTTCTACATTCACAAAATAATTTCAATGATTCCAGTTTATAAAAAGAACTTAGTTTCCTGTATAATCTTGTAGGAATAAACACCAAAAACTAAATTCTAGTCATTTTAGTGCCCAGAGCCCTGATAGAATTAATTATCCATCAGTATAGATTTTAGTTCCTTTATTTAGCCACCTTGTTACAATAGAGTTATAATTTAAATGCAATGACATGTGTGAATCTTAAGAATACAATTTAATGAATTGTGGCCATCTATCCCTGTGTACCTACTATCCATGCACATATTTGTGTATTTATAGCATAGTAGAAGGTGCCCTGTGCTCTCTTGGGTCAGTGCCACCCTCCCTAGCATGTCCTACAGAGGAGTGACCCTGATTCCGAGTGCCATCAGCTTGAATTAGGTATAGCTGGTTTGGATTTTTATTTAAATAGATTACATTTATTCTTTTTGTGTCTTTGTTCTTTCACTGACATCTGTGAAATTTATCCAGAAGGCTCTGCATAACCATAATTCAGTGAGCTGGGGTTCGGGTTTAGGGCATTGTGCATACTAGAGAAGCATTCTGCCTCAGTCCTTGTTTTGTTGTTAAAAGCCTCCCTAGTTATCCCAGGCTAGCCTTAAACTTAGGATCCTCCTGTGCCTGCCTAGCCTCAAACTTATGATCTTCCTGTGTCTGCCTCCTGAGTGCTGGGCATACAAGCATGTTTCCTCATGCCCAGCCTTTTCTTTATTTCTCTAATAGGCACAGGGCTCTTTAGAATTTTCTTTTGGCAGATTGGTTGGTAATTTGATATAACAAGTCCCTGTTCAGTACTTACTACTAAGTAACAGAGCCTTGGCCATTTTTATATCAGCATTCAAAGAATATATCATTTCTGTTGTTAGTGGCTTTGTGTAGGCAGAGTGTGTTTATAGAGGGAGCTTTAATCTTTACATAGACATTATTAATATAGGCACGTTTGAATGGTGTCCTTTAAGGATTTATTTTTATATGTATCGTGTGTGTATGGCTGTCAGGAGAAGGAATGTGCTCTGGAGATAGTGAACAAACTGCAGAAGTCGGTTCTCTCTTACCCTGTGGAGCCTGGGGCTGGGACTCAGCTTGTAGACTCGGCAGTGCCTTCACCCTCTGAGCCATCTTGCTAGCTTCAAACCTTGGTCTTTAAAATTGTTTTTGAGGTGAACTTGCTGTGTAGCCGTGTATGTCCTTGAGTTCATATTCCTCCAAGCTTTGGGATCACAGCTGTGCACCACTGTCTAGCTAATAACTTTCGTGTGGTTTGCAGATTTCCCCCAGGGCCTAAAGCATGCTAGGCAAGTGCTCCACCCCTAAGCTACATGCCCCAGGATCTCATTTGATAATGTCCTTTCTCCATTCTTTTCCCTGTGTTTTCCTCTTTTTTCTAACAATTACCCTGAATTACCAAATCTGATGAAATGAGGATCTATGCTATAGGAGTTTATTACACATTGTTTGTTGTTGTTTTGTAAGTCTTGGGATTTTGTTTTCTTTCCTCTTTCACCTCCTTTGAGCTTCATAGGAAGTGAAGCAGCATGATACAGAAATTCAACCTAGAGCATTCAGATTCATCAGAATCCATAATAAATGATCCAAGCCAGTTTATCAGTATATGCTACTGCAGTTTTTATTCTTCCCTCTGAACACCATCGTTCTTTACTTTCACTTTAATTTTATTTAGTACCAAACTCAGGATGAATTTTTGTTTCTTCAGGCTCTAAAAGCAGAAAAGCAATGGGATGTCATGCAACAGACTCACGAGTAAACGTCAGACTAGTATCGGCTAGCAGATATGTCCCCATTTCCTTAATTGTGTGAGCTCTCTGTGTGTCTGTGTCCGTGTCTGTGAAATGAAGATAGTGAAAAGCTCTCTTTGCTGTCACTGCTGTACTATGTATGGCAGTAAGATGAGCTTGCACGTGGAAAGCCCTTTGTCGGCCTCTGAAGAGGTCGGCGTGCTGTGGCAGTGCTCATTTTAAAGGGGACTATTTGGGGCTGAGGTGTAGTTTAGGAGCAAATACAGCACTTGCATAGCCCTGCAAGGCCCTGGGTTCGCTCCCCAACACCTCTGTAACAAGTTCCTCATTCTCTTCAGTATGTAAAGAATCCCTTAACCGTGCCTGCGCAGCTATCTGAAGCCCCTGCTGACCCACAGTGGGCCTCCTCTCACTACCACTCTCCCAGCCTGCTGTGGGCCCATCGCCAGGTGCCTCACCAGCCCCCAAGCATATGAAGTAAGTGGCATTTGTTTTATTTACTTACTGCTGTTGTCTTGAGGCAGGTTCTAGCTATACAGGCCAGGCTGGCCTCAAACTGGGATTACAGGCATGCCCTACCTTGCTCCAGAGTAAGTGCTTTTTATGCACAAATCAAATTCTTTAGCAAGTTCAGTTTGGCTGTTCTGTAGGTTAAATTTCTGGATTTTATTTTATTTTGGTTGGATTTCTTGTTCTTTGAGGTATAAAATCTATGAGAGGGAATGAAAGTATATTTTCTTCAAGTAGAAAATACACCGAAATATGTAAATAGCACTAACACCTTTTGAAAATAGACTAATTCCTTATCCTACAGCAGATGATTTTAGTAGGTCATCCTGTTTTCATTATTTTAATTTATTTGCAGTATGTGGCCTGACTTCAGCCGTGGGTGTGTATGTTTCTATGTCTTCATTAGGCTCGTCACAGTTCAGTTGAAAGGATTCTCAAACAATTTTTTTTAGATGTCATTACATTTATTTAAACTAAAAAATATGGTATTATGGAGCTTTTCCTCCCACAGAAAGAAAATCATAGTGAAATGGTATGCCATATCACACTGTGCTTTGCTGGACAGTTTTGATATCTGTTAAATACAAAAGATGCTCTGTGATTTAGTATCTATAACTTTGGGGTTTTAGGGGAGTGTATCCATGTCTGGTCCATGTAGCTGGAAGGCATAGACACAGCTAGACAGAACCTAGATTCCATATATTTTCCCTTTATCTACTAACATGATTGATGATTTGGTAAATTTTAAACCAAGAAGAAAGTGAAAGTCGTGCTAACTAGTCTGGATTCTAAAATGTAAACACTTAATGGCATTGACTGGTCTTCCCTATTACAATGCCCACCAGTTTGGGCTGCGTTAATGTAACACTCAGAACCCTGCGTTAGTGGGAAGCTGCCATGCAGCAGTACAGACCTTGCAGCTGATTGTGTTTCTCAGAGCAGATTCCATGGGGCGTTGAGGAATAGTAGGCAGTGTAAGTGTGGCGCCTGGGCCGGTAGCTGTGTTTGAAGTCACTGTACATTTGACAGATAGTGCTAGTAGTGTAGAGAGAACACTCTGTGCTGCTTTGACTCCCTCCTGTGTAGCCCAAGTATGGGTCTTTCCCATTGTACCACATGACTCTTCATAGTAGTGGTGTTGGTTCAGGCAGAGGCTTGGCTCTCAGACTCCAGAGACTCAATAACTTACATTATCTATAGCCCAAAGGTCCACAACTCTGTGTGGTGTGTGTGTGCGTGCGTGCGTGTGTGTGTGTGTGTGGTGTCCCAGGTGTGATGGCACATATTCATGATCCCATCTCTTGAGAGGTGGAGGCAGTTTCTAGAACCAGGAGTCCAAGCTCATCCTCAGATACATACATAGCAAGTTAGCTATTAGCTTGGGCTAAATTGAGACTCCATCTCAACAATAACAAATAAGTCAACAAACAAAAACTTGTCTCCAACCACCATTAAAAACCCACAAACAAAAAGGAAACAAGTATGTGCCCTGTGGTATATGCCAATACAACACATCACCCTATGAGTTTCCTGGGGCTGCTGTGACAGACAAAGTGATGTATTTTACAGTTCTGAGGCTAGAAGTCTGAGGTTAAGATAGAGACAGGACTGCTTCCCTACAGGCCTCTTTCTTAGCATCTGATGCTTTGCTGTCAATCTCTGGCATTCCTTGACGTTTAGATGCTTAACCCTGGTCTGTGCCTTCATCACCTCTTGGTGTCATTTCTCTGTGAGTGTGTCCCTGTGCTATTTATGCTATTACAAACAGCACTTATGGTGGCGGTGGTTTTCAATAAGCTTTTGCATATAAGTTTATTCAATGTTAGAAATTCTAAGTATGTAGAATTGATTTTAAGGGGATATTACTAGATCAAAAGGAATGTGCCTTTTACATTTCTTCAAGACCTCAAACTTAAAAGAAAACATTGATTAGAAAGTGCTAAAGAGCCCCCACTGACCTGCAAAGGAGCCACAAAGCTGTTTTAACTAAATGGCAGACACTAGTTAGGTTTGTTGTTACTAGTTAAATATTAGACAGGAAGTGATTTCAGCTGATGGGTGTCTATAGACTTATTTTTTCAATTGACCTTTTTTTATTTTAATCTCTGAGCATTTAAGGAAATTTCTAGCAATAGTAAATTTCTGATAACCAGAAACACAAACAGAGAAACAAATTTGCCAGTAGCTCCATTATAGAGTGCTTATATTGAATGACATTCTAGATGTTTCTATACCTGCATATATGTTCTTTTCTTTGCCAAATGGACTATATATTATTGACCTCCCCATTTTATAGAATTGTATTAGGTATACTGTTTTGGAAACTTCTTTTCCATTAGAACAAAAGCTAATGAACCCGGAAAACAGCTATGTAGTGCAAGTTTCCATGTGTCCCCATGTGCCGTAATGTGTTGTGTGGCTGGAATAAGAAGTGCTTAGTCTTGTATCATAGCCTCATTTGTCTGTTCCCCTGCTCCCAGGTCCCAGACTTTTAAGATCCATGAGGGCAAGCTGATAATGTGCAAAAGCGAGTGCTACTTGCAAACAAAGGGCAAGACCCAGACACTGTGGGAGCACATGGGATGGACAGCTAGTCTAGAGCAGAAAAATCACAGGAGACTGCCAGGGGAAAGTCAGGAGAGGGGACTGGTGACTCGGAGGGGACAGAGGGGACAGCGTGCCTGATTGCTGGGAGGTAAGAGAAAGACAGTGGGATAGCTTGTCAGTGCTTCAGTCCACCCTGCAGGGCAAGAGGCTGCTGGAGTGGGGGCGCAGCTGTTATGGGAGAGGAAGCCGAGAGCAACAAGTAACACTGTCTTTTATTCAAGGGTAGGACTTAGAATTTTATACAGAGTGCGCTGGGCTACCACCGAGGCATTTTAGGTAGAGGGTTGTCAGATTGTCTCCTTTTGGAAATGATTCTCTGAAGAGCAGGCTTATCTTACCACCTTGCCTGGCTTTGATTCTTGTATTGTTTAACTACTCTTAAACTTTCTATTGTTTGCATTTAGAACCAGGAGCAATTGAAAGATGATGACTCCGACCTTATTCTCAATGATGGTGATATCAGTTTGACATATGGGGATTCTACTGTGAACACTGACTCCGCAACAGCCAGTGCCCCAAGGAGATTTATGGGCAACAATTCTGAAGATGCCTTGGATCGGGAGCTTACATTTGGGGACCACGAACTAGTCATTCATGGAACACGCCTGGTTCTTCCGATGGATGATTCTGAACCTGCGTTAAATTCATTAGATGATACAAGACACAGTCCAGCCTAAACTTTCTAATACTCACTTAGTGGTTTATAAACTTTGCACATGTGATTGTGAAGAAATGTGTACTACCTACAAGTCCTAGTGCATGTCTCTGAATGTGTAAGCTATATAAATGCTATTTATATGGCATAGAAGAATATAAATACTCTGTAGAAGGCAGATTGTCAGTTCTCTTTAAGTTTTGCTACATTGGCCAGATCTGTTTTAGAAAGTTATTTCCACAGTAATGTTGTGTGTTCTGTTAGTTTTATGTTTCAGTTAAAGTATAAAAAGTGACAGATTGACCCTTTCTTATATTTATCTGACACTTAACTGGAGTACTAAGTTCTTGTGATGTGAATTAATTTGTGTGTGGCAAGGAAGGGGGAGGGGAGGGGGAGGGAAGGGGGGAGCTCTTATTCCCTCGGGAACCTAAGGAGGAGAGGTTCCTTTGTTGGAGAACTTTTGTTGATTGCTGCTGCCTTTGTCATGACTTTTTTCTTTCCCTTTTCTCTGGTGGCCCTTTGTGGTGCAAGGAGCTGATGGCATTTTGATCTCACCCCATTCAGGTTGGGGACTGAAGTGTGGGGGCTGTTTTTCCCCAATTGATGTAAAAGAACAGATTTCTTCACTACAGTACGTCGATGCTCTGAGAAAGAAGGCTACAAATGACCTCCAAGACCTTATTTCTTTTCTTTCACACCAAGATCATAGGAATTGCATCCAGCTGGCTTAGCCAAAGTATAGGTGTATATAGTTCAGGGCACTTGTTTCAGATTTGGGGGCACTGGAGCAAGTGGACACGGGGCATAAGATGGTGTTGGAGGTCTCTCTTCCCAAATATGTAAATATTCTATACCAGATAACTCAAAATAGAAAATGTAATTGCTGCTTCAATATTGTTGTGTGTATAGTAAGCCTTGTCATCACAAGTTTTTTATATCAACTTAAAACGCTGCTCTTCAGCAGCCAATCAGGAGCAAAATGGAAAAATTTTTAAACTTACAATGTGTAGTGGTCACTTGTTAGTCAGTAGTTGGTGTTAGAAGTTAATTCATGTTCTGTACTACACCAAAGGCAGCTGTAAGAGAAACACAGTACTCTGCGGTGTCTTTGTGTAAAGTGGGTGTAGTTGTCTTCATTATCATGTGACTTTTTAATATTAGATGCCTAAGCTGCCATGTGTTATTTTTTGATGGTTTTCAAGGAAGAGCACAGAACAGCTTTTTATTTCATATTCATAGTATGAAAATGGTTTCTATTTTGTAATGCTGCAAATACCTAAAGGTACATTGAACACTTGGAAGGGGAATACTTCTTGATGCTGATTCTGACCTGTTTGTGATTCAGGAGAAAAAAAATACAAATTTTGTGGATCCCCCCCCCAGGTCTGAGTAGCATTGCCTTAAATCTAATCCAATTAGAAAATTAATTACTTCTATGACATTCAAATTTTCCACTGAAAAATGCCCTTCCAAACAAAACATGCACTTACTCCCTCTAAGGGTTCTGTGCCATTGTAAACACTCCTGGAGCTTTTAAAGGAATTCTATTGCTGTACCCTTCGTGGCAGCCTTGACTCGTGGCCATGTGTTATGTAGTGGTAGTGACTTTCCTGCTATGCAGGACTCCTCCTGTGACGTGTACATTTTATATGATGTGTGGCTCTCCGTGCAGTAAATAATTTCTTGTTAATGTATGTTGGGGGGGGGGTTGAATGTCAGCATCATTGACCCACACAGTTATTCAAGTTGTAAAAGGGTATACAGTAATTTAACTACTATCTTTTTATTCTATCAGGTTACTGAGCCCACATTATAAAAATGGCTATAAATACTGAGCATGAAAAATTATGTAACCTGTCTCTTTCCGCATGCATAAGACTTCTCATTAAGGAACCTGATAACGCTCGAGTCCACTAAATCTGCCTTCAGTACTTTATCAAAGGGGAACCAAGCTTGTGCTTACGTCTTCATCTGGAAGATTTTTCCCTCTCTTGTCTGTGTACACATCTCCATGCAACAAGAAAAGCACCTCTGTTAAGATAGCCGTTGGAATTAAAGACCTGAATGAACTTTGATGAAGTACAGTCTGAGGAACCATCATGCATGAGTGAATTGCTCTCTTGGACCTATTTTTCTGTTGTTTGTGAAACCTACATGTTTGATTGACTTGAACATTGCATCTTTCAGAGTTATTTTTTAAGATCTCTTGGCATTTATCCTGGTCTGTGTTTGGCAGTGTGCTGTTAAAGTACTAGACTTCTAATCTTTATGTGCTTTTTGTTTTCCCTTGGAGTACTTGGAAAGATGTTATAGTGGTTTCTTTTAGGAAAATCTGTCATTAAAAAAATTATAGCCTTGCAAATAACCACTCGCTGTTATTTGAGTCCCAGCTTATTCTAGAGAGACATAAGGAATGCTGACTTCATTTCTTTTTCTACCTATATACATACTGGAAAAGGGAGAGGACTGGAGTTTTAAAAAGCAACTTGACAGTACCTAACTTATGAGGTGGCAGAGTATAAGGCTGAATGTGTTTGCTCGTGGTCACAATCGGACCATTTAAGAAATACTGCTCAAGACCATCAAGTTCCATTATATTGATTTGTAGGCTGTTAGTGCAGTAGCGGAATGTGGTGAAAATAGTTGCATTGTACTGCAGGTGGGGCAGTTGCAGAAAGGCAATTCCAAGTTTGCCTGCAGAGCAGAGCACAGCCACATCAATCGTCCTTCACATGAAAGGTGCGTTTCTCTTTGTACAGAAGATGTTGTGTGGGTTAGCATTTGGATTAGTCAGGGTTCCCTAGAGAAACAAAACTTAGAGAATTCATACGATTTAATTAAGAAAAAAAACCCTCACAGATAATGCTTAGCCTGTGGTTTTAGTTAATTAATTCCAGATGTAGTCAAGTTGGCAACCAAGAATAGCCATCTGACAACAACTTTACTATACATATATACACACACATATACATTCTAGTAAATCCCATGTATATAGTAATATATGTGAGATTTATTGGAATGGCTTTATATATATATATGCATATATGTGTATATGTGTATGTATATGGGATTTATTAGATTGCTGTAAGGCTGTGGTCCAGCTATTCCAACAATGGCTGTCTGCCCATGGAAGGTCCAAGAGTCCAGTAATTGTTCAGTCCATGAAGCTGGATGGTTCATCTGGTCTTCAGTATACACTGTTATCCTGAAGAAGTGGGCTCTATTGCCACTGAAGGAATGGACTTACCAGCGAGAACAAGCAGCCAAGAAGAGAGTGCTTCCTTCTTCCATGTCCTTTATATAGGCTGCCAACAGAAGGTGTGGCCCAGGTTAAAGGTAGACCTTCCCACCTCAAAAATCTGAAGTAGAAATCACTTCAAATGATTTAAGAAAAAAAATCCCTCTTGGGTTTTAGTTAATACCAGATATGGTCAAGTTGACAAGCAAGAATAGCCATCACAGAGTTTGCTAACAGTAGGCTTGTCTGTCTTGCTAATGGTACAAATCATGCTCTCAGTTCAGCTACATTGCTGTTGCTATTGCTACACTCCAGCTTCCTTACTCATTGCTCACTCACTGAAGGCACAGGTGAGACACCCACACCCAAGGTCCGTGCCTCGAATCAATTTGTTTTTCTCACCACACAAAACCCTTTATTAGATTTGAGCAGGCACCTTCGTTCTGATTAGTGGTAGAATAGAATAGATGTTCTTGAATTAATTGCAAAATTCTCCACAGGAAATACTTATCAAGATGGTCCAGGATGAGGCTTGTAAATAAACCGGAAATGTTAATAATAGTTGTGTTTTTTGAGTCCCTCTTGGGTACACATAATGTGTTTACAAGGTATTTTGATTGTTTTAATTTTATGACGTAGCATACCCTCTGTTTTCTGTTGAGACAGAAGTGCAAAGTTGATATGACTGGTAACCCACAGAGCTATGACTCAAATCCTCAGCCTGATTCCAAAGGTCCGGATTCTGTTGTTTTGTTTTTGAGACAAAATCTAACCGTAAAGGTCAGGCTGCCTTTGAAACAAATGAACCTCCTATCTCAGCCTCCTGAGAGATGTGATTACAGGCATGTACCACCACACCTAACATCAAAAGTCCAGTTTGTTAACCACTACTGACTCTAGGCACGGACTCCGTACTAAACTAAGTCCAGCCTGAAGATGAGACAGGAGTTGTAGACTTCAAGCCTGCTGCCCACCACCTGCTGGCCATCAGACCAGGGTAAGAGATGAAGTCTCAGCTCCAGCCTGCATTTCCTGTCTTGTTGGCTGCCTTACATGAGTCTCTGTGGTGGGAACATCCTGACACCCATCGCCGAGGGCCCCTCCTGTGTCTTGTCCTAAGTGAGGGAGGCTGGTTGATTAGCAGCTCTGCCTTCCACTCCCTTCCACTATCTCTTAGCCTTTTCCAAGGGCCTATCTTTCATGCCAGAGTACGTGATTGAGAACAATGGCTTTGGAGTCACAGAAGGTGGGCTAGTGTTTTAAAAGCCTGGGCTTTTTTTTTTTATCTCAGGCCCTGCTACTGAGTGTGACGTTGACCAGTTACGTGACTTAACCGAGCCTTTTCATTCTCTCTCCTTGCTGTTCAAGGGATCTGAGCTCATCCTTTGAGCCACATACAGTGGGGCTAGCAGCAGACAACTGTACCGCAATCTCAGCTCTGCTCCGCATACTGTACGCAAGATGTTGTCAGTCATCTCTTGGTGGGCCTTGGGAATCACTTATGGAAGAAGGACTGCTTGATTTCTAGTGGGGGCATATTGATTTCAAGTAATAACTTCAAACACAGTAGTCATGAAAGCCATGACCGACATGTAAGAACCCTCCCTGGGGTGCTAGCAGGGCCCTGTAATCTGCTGATACAGGGGTTGAGGCTGACTTTTCTGATAAAGGGATGTTTAAGTTTAGATCTCAAGAGTCAGTCGAGGGCCAACTGAGTGACGTGATGAGGACCATTCCAAGCAGAGTGAAGTGACATTCCTTTAGTCGGGTGTCTGTTGAGTGACAAAACATGCACTGTGCTCTACAATTCAGCACGGAACAAAATAGAGCTCCTCTCGCAGCACTTCCAAAGCCGCGAGGACAGAATCCTAGTTCCAGTGTTAGTCATTATAATGAGTGCCCTGAACCAAAATGTGCCCCCTGCCACTTCCTCCCTCCCACCCAGGGTAAGACGACCCTCTCCTGTATGTCACCTTAAAAGCCTTTGAAAACAACTGATAATGTCTTTTCAGAGCTTTTGTGTGCCCAGGCTAAACAACCCTATTCTCTTACTATCTTCCCTCCAGCCGAGACCACCCTGGCTTGCTTAGTTTCTGTGGCTGCATCAACCCCTCCTAACAATCAGCAGGCAGACTGGACCAAAGGCGCCCTGCTCCAGGGAAAGCAAACCATAAATGCACATACATGAAATAATGAAAGGGTGGAGAATTGGCCAGCAAGAAATGGGACAGAGGCTAAGCGGTGTGAGGAGAGGGGGCGAGAGAGGAAGAGGCAGGGAGAAGTTGAAACAGTCAGCAGTCTGTGGGTTCATAAACCAAACTCCAGCCTTAGCTACACAGCACTTTTAGAGCCAGCTTGCGGTATGTGAGACCCTC